ATAAAAGATCTATTAGGTAAGATTTTCAGTTAAAAATATATGTAGAAAAGAAAAATGAAACAAGTCAAAAAACAAATATATATTCTAAGTGTATAATACACATTACAGATTCCAACCGAAAACAAAGATACAAGGCAAGTAGAAAATATAGCAAATTTGAAATTCAAATCAATCCAAAAGTAATGCAAGAGGAAAATAGAGCTACCTTATATCAAATGCAACACCACTTTTCTTTTCTACAAATTTAACTATTGGCACACGAGCTTTTGCAATCACCTGATAAGATTTGAATTGTTAGATAAATATACTCTTTTGTATCAACAACATTTCTAAACAAAGAAAAATACCTGCATCTTTTTTGCAATTCCCTTTTGAGATAATGCCCTGGAAAGAGCATGCAAACCAGTCTGTGGATTTTTTATACCTGACCCAAGAATCACAACCTACATACAGTATAAACAAATAACTATGAAAACGAAGCATACAGGCCAGGGGTGAATAAATATATACATATAAAAGCAGCCATGCTTCTTCTCTTTTTATTCCAATTTTTGGTCATTTTCTTTTCTCCTTCCAATTCTTTTTTTTTTCTTCATAAAGAAGGAATGCTATACACTAAACTACATTATCCTAATAGAAAACCACTAAATATGTAACGCATGCTATAATATAAAAGGATTAGACTTTAACACAAATTAAGTTGCTAGACATAAATTTTATGGGATGATAAAAAGCATAATACTCACATCAATATCACTTGTTGGTAAATAAAGTCCTGTCCTGAATGAGCCAAAAACTTCTGGCTGCAAAGCAACAGTCTGTTACATTTTGGCCTTATATAATGTGTGTGCTTTTGTGTGTGAGAGAAAGAGAGAGGCAGCCAATTATACCCTGCATGCAGGCCATATGTATTTGATAACATCAAAAACAGAGTCCACAGCTGCATCACGTGCTGCTTGCTCTTCTGGAGTTGGGGATAAGAAATCACAGAAGTCCACTATCTCTGCAGTACCCAACATCAGTGATCAAGTTTAAACTCTGCTTATGATGTACACACTTATAAAAATGGCAATTCATAATGTTCATCACCATCTACCATCTACAAGCACTCTATGCACTACAAAGATAAATAATTTCAATAAAACCAAGCTAAAATATATATTTAATCCTGCTCCAAAAATTTACAAGATTACACGAACAGAACTCAAAAACCTGAAGTACTTGATGGTTCATATGCCCACTGACTCCAGGTATCACTTCCATCAATTTTGGTACATACACTGACCAACAATCTATTACTCTATACTCATAAATTTATGCACCATAATGACAATTACACATGCAACTCTCCATCTTTTTTCTAGACAATCCTATCCACCAAACTAAGCCAGCCATAAAATCACACAAATCAGAGTAACAAAGAGAAGAAGGCAGAACTCAAACTGAATTATCAATTACTAGCGCACAAACTAAGGCAAAGCCATGAATTTTATCACAGGATATCTCAATTGAAAAACTAAAAATTTCCAATCCCAGCTATGTTCATTACTAAAAGATATGGCATTGTAATATTTTCAAAGACAATTGAACTAATTTGACAGCAATAAAGCTGGTCCAATATTTTGAAAGAGGACCAAAAACCAAAATTCAACTAAGTTACATCACCACATAGCAAATTCTAATCCTCAGAAAAAAATTGTAAGATTTCCCAGAAACCCAGCTAACTTAATGAAAAAAAAATCAAAATCTCCATATAAAAAAACAAAAAATAAAACAAAGAACAAAGCTTAATTTTTCACCAAACCTTTATGCAACTGAAGCATTGGACTCTTAAACCTACTATTCCCACGAAACCACCACTCGTTCTCAAGCCTCGGCTCATCCACAACAGTCGGCGTCTTCAGCTCCGGTTCATCCCAAGCCGAGACCGAAGCATGAACTATCCCCGGCTCAGCTGGCTCATTAAGATCAAGGGAGAAATAATCCGGCGCCGCCGAGTCCAAGGAGATGGAATTTTCGGCTGATAGAGAGATTTCGTTGCGGAAAACGGTGTAGGGACCGAGAGGAGGTTCATTGAACGGCGGAGATTGAGCGGCAGGCGAAGAAGGGAGAGAAATTGGGGTTAGGGTTAGGGTCTCGTAGAGTATGGGTTGCGAATTGGTGGGAGTTTGGGGCTCCATTGTTTCATGGAGGTGAAACGATCAGGGTTTTAGGGATTGGGGAAATTAGGGTTTATAGATTTGGGCGGGTAGATTTGACGGGTTTAATGATTAACCGCGCATGATTTATATTTTCTTTTCTTTTCCTGATAATTTTGTTTTCTTTAAAATAAGATTTACTATTTCAAAGAGGGTTTTCCTTTTTTCTTAATTGTTAATTTAAGTATTTAATTAAAACTTTCAATTAAAAGTTTTTCATTTTATTTAATTTAATTGTGAATTATGACACTATTATCTTGTTTGAACTTTCAATTCATAAAAGAATTTTGTTTTTGTAAAATCACTTATTAACTATGAATTAACAATAATTTACTAATTAAAAAATAAAATTTTAACTTATTTATTTATTTTCTTTCATATTATTGTTTATTAAAAAAATTAAACCTCAATAAAAAACTTCTATTTTACCAAAACCTCCTGAAGAAAAATTAAAATCCATTCTCGAAGCTTCATTCTTTTTAAATATACAAAACCGTATTTATATCTAACATTTCAAAATAAATTTTTAAAAAAACTTATAAAGAGCTTCTTAAGTGTAACCAAAAACCAAATTCCATTTACTACAAGAACTAGGAGAAGTAACACTTACATGTACATATATAAATGGAAACATAACTCAAGATTTCTATAGTGAAAACCAATAGATCAAAGCACAGAACAACAAAGCCATGTCTCCTGTTTTACTAGAAACATTAGTAGCGTATCTGGCTTTCGTTCTTTATGCCCTAGGATTCGCCTTCTTCCTGTTCAGCATCTTGTTTCAATGCTGGGGCTTGTTCTTTAACAGAAACCGAAACCAGCAGGGTGATGTTGAATCATCAGCTGGTGATATCGAATCAGGTGAAACAAGTAATCCTCTTCCTCCTCGGGTTCATGGTCTTCCAGCTATATCCGAAACCTGTTTACCGGATATTCCAGGAGCCAAGCCGCTGACCATGTACGCTGCTTCTGATGAATGTGCTATATGCATGGAGGATTTCAAGGAGAAAGAGGTTTGCTGGGTTCTTGTCAAGTGTGACCATGTTTTCCATAAGCCTTGCGCAGAAGAATGGTTGGAGAGAAGCCTTTCATGCCCACTTTGTCGAACCAATGCAAACTCTATATATGGTTAATATGTAATCAAATTTTCTTCCTTCTTTTTTCTTTGGATGATTTGGTGATCCTTGAGAGTTGAACATGAAACCAAAATTTTCTTGGTTGCCTTTATTACATGAAAATGTTTTGTAGTAAAGCAGAAGCTCCTTCTGCTTTAATAAGCTCCCACTGTTTTTGTCTAATTTCATCAAAGAATAGTCTCTCCTATTATATTAAATTATTTGTTTTTATCATTTAATTTGTTAATACGATTAAAAATTAAGTAACCATCTTATCGTCTTTTACTTATGACACACTTCTACGTCAAAAATATATATGATAAATTAAATATTTAATTTAATTATAAATACATATATTCCTTGAATCAAATTCATGTCTCCTTTCTAAAAAAAATTATATTAATAAAAATGTAATATTTGTCATAATTTCGTAAAAATTTAGAACATGATGATTCACGAATAATGTAAAATTCATTTTACATAGCACTATGTAATAATTTAAAGTAAAAATATTAAATATTAAAATATGAGACTTCTATTGTATATCTTATCTTGAATCTAGTAATCCTTCCCTACCAAAATGTTTTTTTTAAAAAAAGGCAGAATAAAGTTCATTTCACTCAAGATTTACAAAAGACTACCACATAAGGTCGTGAGGCAGCTCCTTACTGGCTTTCTATATTATTGTTTATTAGCAAAATCGATAACAAATTTCTATTTTGTCAAAAACTTCAAATATATATAATTTCAAAATAATTAAACATAATCTATTTTTGATCTTTTATTCTTTTTAAATATAAAAAATCATGTGTATCTGACACTTTTTAATTAAATATGAATATAATTTTTTATCATTTAAATATATAAAAAATTTACTGAAATTTAAGCATACTTTTGTCCAATACTAATAGACATATAAAATATAAAATTTTCACCACCATTATGCTTGAAAAAATCTCTAAACTATTTTTAAAAATTCAAAAAAAAACTTTTATTCTTCTATTACATTTAACCAAGTCTATTACTCTTATTTTGAATAAAATAGGCTTTTACAACCAATTGTTGACCAAATATCATTAGTTAAAATACTCATTTGTCATCTAATACTCACGTAACATTAACATAATGCTGACATGAGTCATCATGTCACGTTATTATTTATTATGATATGTCAATATGAATTGTCAACATTATATAGTATAAATATAAAATGACAAATGGTATTTTGATTAATAATAATAAATTAAAAATTAATTATAATGGTTTATTTGATTTACAATAAAAATATAAAAGTTTGATTTAACTTAATAAATTAATAAGAGTTTATTTAAAAATTTTTAAATAATTTGAAAAACTTTTAGGTATTATATTTATTCCATCTTAATGTTTCTTACTATCCGAGTTAACTGCAAGCACTTAAATTTGAAAAATATAAATAAAAAGAGATCTTTGGTAGATCGTTATAAGGAGCCTCAGTTGTATCCAAAAACCAAATTCTATTTACTACAAGAACTAGGAGAAGTAACACTTACATATATATATATATGGAAACATAACTCAAATTACACAGTGAAAACCAATAGATCAAAAAATAGAACAACAAAGCCATGTCTCCTGATTTACTAGAAATATTAGTAACGTATCTTGTTTTCACCCTTTATGGCATAGGATTCACCTTCTTTTTGTTCAGCATCATCTTTCAATGCTGGGGTTTTTTCTTTAACAGAAACCAAAGGCAGCAGGGTGATGTTGAATCATCAGCTGGTGATATCGAATTAGGTGAAACAAGTTATCCTCCTCCTCCTCGGGTTTATGTTCTTCCAGCTATATCCGAAACCTGTTTACTGGATGTTCCAGGAGCCAAGCCGCTGACCATGTATGCTGCTTCTGATAAATGTGCTATATGCCCAGAAGATTTCAAGGAGAAAGAGGTATGCTGGGTTCTAGTCAAGTGTGACCATGTTTTCCATAAGCCTTGCGCAGAAGAATGGTTGAAGAGAAGCCTTTGGTGCCCCCTTTGTCGAACCAATGCAAACTATATCATTAATGTGTAATCAAATTTTCTTGGTTCTTTTTTCCTTTTATGATTAGTCGATCCTTGAGAGTTGAACACGAAAGCAGCATTGTAGAAAACCTGAAGTTTCTAAATTTTATCAAGATTCTTGTTATTCTCTTTACTCTCTCTTATTATATTAGATTATTTAATTTGCTTTTATCATTTAATTTCTTTTACTTACTACACATTTTGATGTCAAAAATATATTGATAAATTATTGAAAATTTAATATAATAGTAAATACACGTGTTTCTTTTTTTAAAGAATCAGATTTAAATCTCCTTTCAAAAGAAGAAATTACTAATAAGAATATAATATTTATTGAAATTTCCTAAAACGGAAATTTAAGAATTTGCCCAACTAGTCAATGGAAAGACAAATATGTTTGACAACTACTGTTTCAAGAAAGGTTATTGGTGAAAACTAAGGATAAATTTGCTTGGCAATATCTTAATTAACAACCTTGCCAACCCAAGCTGAGAACGAGAGCCTTTAAATGGTTGGATTTTTGATTGAAGCAGTTGTTTTATTCTATTGATTACTATTGTATTGTATTCTAATAAGGATCAAGAATGACTACACCACCTTCACCTTGTGATAATAAAAGGCTCAACTTGCCACCAATGGTACGTTCATTGTTGGCTCAAAAACTTGCCCTCGGATCTCCTTCAACAATTCCTAACAATGTTACTTTCAATCTTGATGACTTCCAAACTTCGATCTTCGTTTGCATCATCGTGTTGATGCTCTTCTACCTCTTCTATCAAATTCTTGACAGATTTCTCAACTGCCTCCCAAATGAAAGGTATGACCGAGATATCGAATTACAAGACATAGCTAATCACCGGTCTGTAGCCAATTCTCATTGGTTTCGTGAAGTTACCGTGCACAACAGTCTATGGTTGTTGGAAACATTGAATGGATTCATGACATTGTTGGCAGAGAGACAAGGGCTAAGCCCGGAGGACTTGGAGAAAAGTCTGCCCCTTGTACATTACAAAAGCCTAGGAAAAACATTAGATGAATGTGTCATTTGCTTGGAGGACTTTGAAGATGATGAACTGTGCCGAGTTTTTCCGGTGTGCAAACATGTTTTCCATTTCGATTGCATAGATAACTGGTTGAGAAATCACACAACTTGCCCGGTCTGTCGGAATTGTATATTAGATGCATCATGTATGACAATGTAAATAAATGTTCACCAAACTTCTATAGTTTCAAAATTGCAGAATCTCATCAGGTCAGTTCCTTTCTTTTACATGTTAAGAACATAGAGCAAGGGGCGGTTTTCAATTGAAGTTTACATTGATTAATACTTTCTAAGCTAAGAAAAACAAATACTGTCAGAACTTGATTGTATTCTTTCATCTATTTTGCACTATGTCAATACAAATACCAGATCTCAAAAGGCCTGAGGCCAGAGCTGTAAGCTCTACCAGCAACCATTAATGGGTAAAGAATTTGGTTTTACAGCTCCTCTTTCAGAATTATGGGTGAAATTGATTTGGCAGAGTCTAAATAAACCTCCCAGAAGACCTGGTGTAAGTTTCTCAAATCAAAGGGAACAGTTTGGAACCAAATTCCCTAAAATTAGAACTCCAACCAATCCTTCATTTTCCTTTCCATCATATTTAGAAGTTTGTTTTTACTAATGTAATTAACCGTAAGGTTTTGTTTTAGGTAGTTTGTAATAAAGAATTTAAATTGGGAAATTACATTGCAGGGTCATCAAAGTCCTAGTTCATGCAAAAATCAGATCTTAAAGAACCATGGTTACTCTAAGCATTGCGATCCATTCTTTAGATTACCCTCTTATTGTTTCTTTGATTACTGCCATTGGCATTGTCTTCCTCTTGTTATCCTGCCTGATTGGCGTCTGCATCATCGCAACATCGTTCATCATCCTCATCATCTACATTATTTGTGAATGCCTTAGCTGGCCTATATTCGAGAAGTTCATTTCTGATCTGCTGAGAAGAGCAATTCATCGAGTTCGGATAGTGACTTACCAAGCAATAATCCCAAACTATTTGCAACAATCGGAGATGACAGAAGGGTTTCCACAGAGTATAGACGACAGGGTCATGTTAAGGCAGCAGGCCTTACCGCCAATGATTTATGGGTTTGGTTCATATCCATTGAAATCCAAAGACTGCGCCATATGCTTGGATGATTATGTGGTTGGTGAAGTGTGTCGAGTTCTTCCAGCGTGCAAACACATGTTTCATTTGAGTTGCATTGATCACTGGCTCGAAAATCATCTAACATGCCCGGTTTGTAGACAATGTATTTAAGATGCATGCTCTTTGCATGTATTGATCAGTTTTAAAAGCCATAGATCAGTTTAAAATCAAGCTTGGATATAATCACATTCATGTGATAATTTTATTTGACAGCTTATTTAACGTGATTAATTTGGTGTCTATGTTCATGTTCCTTCGCTTGATTTTATAAAAAAGTGGAGAGGGGATTTCATAAAAAAATTTGCTACCTATCTTAGCTGGTGGATAGGGCGTTGTATGGGACACAACCTGTCAATGAATCTTTATTGCAATTGTGAAACATTTTCACTTAGAGTCGATTGTTTTGACGTAAAATATTTTTTCAGAAAATATTTTCAAGATTTATACTTATTTGAAAAATAAATATTTTATTTCAAATGAAAAATATTTTACGAGTTAATAGGTAAAACAACTATTAACCATGAAAAATTTCTTATGCCTTTGAGAGAGGTATAACATAAGACATGTTCTAAGAGAACAAAAAAAAACTCTTATATTAAGTTTAAAAATATAAATTTGATGAATAATAATATTTAACTTAAATTTTTTTTAATTTAAAATGTTAATATTTAAATTATTCAATACTATTAAAATTAAAAAAATATTTTTTTTAATTTTAATCATTCAATGCAATTAAATTTTTTATTTATGAATTGAATAAATCTTACTAATAATTATAATAAAAAATATTTCAATGATATCATTTGATGAATACGTATAAGTATTTACAAGATTTACAAATTTCAAAAGCCAAAAGTTTGAAAATTATCACAAGATACTTAGATTTTTAGGGTTCTAATATCAGTGAACTAATTTTGACACATGGATTCTCTTAACACAAAAAGTCCCTAACCAAGCTATTGACACCAATTTAAAGAGCACATTTCATACTACAAAAACTCCCAAAGAAATTACTCAAAACATTACTAAAATGTAAAGTTCTAGTGACCTAAAGTTGGATAGTTAAAACTATTAAAAATTAATTTCCAATCAATTTAAAAAATTCATATCTCTTTAATTACTGAACCAAATATAGTGCTACAAAGATCATTAGAAAGATCTTTTCAAAACCTTTCCATTAGTACCTATCATGCTGCCAAAAAATCACCGAAACAGTACTAAATTTGAATGAAAATTGAAGAAACACAAAATAACTTAGGACTTTTATACCAAAACTACGAAAATATAAAAATCTCATTATTTGAAACTTAATCATACCTTAGTCAACACTTCCTTGAATGTATTTCCTCTTTCTTTGTCTTTCTTCTTCCCCTTTTCTCCTTAACATGGTGATATAAAACTAACATTAACTCCTTCTACCTTTCTTTTAAACTTAATGATATAAAACTGGCATTAACTTCTCTAACTACTTCACTGCTTTTCTTTTAAATGTGATAATGTAAAATTGATATTAACTTCCACTAACCGCTTCGATAATGTAAAACTGATATTAACTTTCTCCTATTTTAATAGTGTAAAACTGTTACTTTTTTTTTTAAACGTGATAATATAAAACTTATATTAACTTATTTTAATTTTTTTATGTGATAATATAAAATTGACAATAACTAAAAATAAACTACTCTATTTGCTAAAAGGTCCTTTCTTATTTTCTCTCTTTGTTAATAAACCTCAACATCATAACTATAATTATAAAAAAAATGATATTTTACTTATTTCTTTTTATAAAAACTATAACTTAATAAATATAAATATTTTTATAACATAATTAAGTATAATATTTTTTTATGAGGGTATTACATTTTTCTCGCTGAGTGTAACATCCTTATGGCTCTCTTTGATGTGGGATTTACATTTGTTTATGGCCGTGACACCTTGCCTTGCTAACCTTTCTTGTGTAGCTATGGAAAGAGATCATGGAAATTAAACTTCTTTAATTGGGGTTTTAAATTATTAATCAAGAATCTCAAAAATAATTCTTTTCCTGTTAATATTTCATTTTAATGATTGTTTTGAGAGATCTCTTGGATTACTTTTGGGTTAGAAAATTCAACAAAATGCACCTAAGATGTTCTTAACATGGACCATGTAAATTTCATATTATAGTGATATGCTCCCAGCGAGTAAAGTCATAAGTCTCATATTAGAGAAAAGTTCTTAACAAGGAGTTAAAGGAAGGAAGATGTCATAATCCTAAATGAAAACTATGAATCTCGTATCGACTATGTACTAAAGTGATACTAAGCTTATAAAACTTTATATCACTTTCAATATGTGAGGTGTCTATTGTGGGACAAAACTGTGATGTCAACACAAAAGTTAGTGTGAACTGTAATAGTTAATGATTGTGTTGAGAGATTTCTTGGCAACCAGGATGTCACGGTTCTAGTGTGAAGAGACCCATAAGTCCCACATCAAAAAGTGGCGAAAATGAACAATACTTCAAAAGAGTTGATCTAGACCTAACTAAAGGTGTTAATATGGGTTGACTTGGCCCAAAATACTATGGGTTGAGAAAATATAAAGTGCGCCCACCCTTGTCAACTCATAGCCCGAGCTTACACACTTCTTTTTTTAAAAAAATAAAATAAAATAAATTCATTTTTACAATTCTACATAACAAACTCCCTATCAATAAAATTATTTCATGATTCAATTCATAAATTGAATAATAAAAATATGTTACAAATAAATAATTACATCAAACATAAATAAACAAATAAATTACATCAAACATGTATAAAGTTTCAATCTTTAATCACAAACTACAATCTCATCAACATATGTATATAATAAAATAAATAAAACTTCAAGACTCATTTATGTCTTCTCCAATCCTCATCCTTAAGCAAAACATTTGAATCTTGTTTGGATATCAATAATGTCTTAAGGTATGAATCATTATCATTTACTATTCATTGTTATAAAATAAAAGATAATGAGTTTTAATCTTAACTAAAATTATTAATTTGATAAGTAAAAATTAAAAATATTTAAATATATAAAATAAGCAATACTATTGATAGTCAAATTATTAATTTTATATAACTAAATATATAAAATTATTAAATTAACTAAAATTATTAATTTATTTTTTTCTTTCAGCCTATAAGCCTAACCCATACCAACTAGAGATAACTCACTGATCAGATGAACTGTCTCATTTAAACTCAATTTTAATATGGGTCTAAATTTTCATATCTCAACCCATTCCACTTTTAATAAAAAATAAACTGACCCTAAACCCGTCCTAATGATCTTGCTTTCCACCTGCTTATTTTTCATTAGTAAAATTTGCACATATGAAATAATATTTCCACTTGTTTCAACCATTGGAAGCATTCCATAGCCCTACAAATGTGACCAGAGGAACTGCCTGACGGCACAGCTGGAGCCAGTACCATTACCACCGCAAGTGCTTCATAGACAAATTCCATAATAGCTCTGACAACTGTTCCTTTTGCTCAAATGATTCCAAGGTGATTTAGTAATCTCATAATGTGCTAGTTTAATTGCTAAAAATCTTATATCATAGAACGTTGACCAAAAGTTATAGAAACATCATAAAGCAGAGGCAATTGAACCCAAAACCCATATTTCTAAGATTGATTGGAAAGTCACCTATTTGAGTAATCCAGCCAATATAGTCAAGGCCTGATTATTATGGTTCCTCAGGCATCCGTTCCTCCATTTCTTTCTGCTGCAGCAGTTTCTACTAGTGACTTAGGATATGCTTGAGATCCAAATTAATATTACTCAACTCGATTCTCTTCAGTTTTGTTCAATGGATTCCATTAAGGAAGAGAGATGCCTTGTCTTGCACCCTTTAGTAGAATTCAGATTATACAAACAAAGAATGCCCTGAACATTTTCAGCAATTTTCTGATTACATATTAATTGGACCTAATTCTTCTATTTGAATATAAGAACTTTTAGGTTTAGTTTTAAATGTTGGAGAATCCTGCGTTGTTGAGAACCAAAAGAAACATTAAACCAAAAATCTTGACTTAAAAAGGACACGTGCTCAAACTCGGATCACCTCTGTTTTCTCAGGGAGGAAGCAAAAGCAAAGGACCTTCAGCTTCAAGCCATTAACGAATAGTGAAGTATCCTTAAGATCAAAGTAAAGACTTTTCAAAGATAACAAGGACTGACATCTACCTATAAAATTCTTGCGACATAAATAAATGATTTTGAGTTGCAGGCTATCCCAGAGCAGAGCGGGAATGACAAGAGAAATGAAGAAACTGTTTAAGTTGGCATGAACTAGACTCTAGAAAACTATGCCCGCATAACACAATCAAGATTTTTGCTAAATTTATCTTTGAATAAGCAGATAATGCTATTCTATTCATTTCTTTTGAACTTACTTGCATAACCAAAGGCCAGATTGTGAAGCAGATATAGATTCCAATGCTAAGCTTGATTGTTCTAATAGGCCCCAAACATCAAAACAAAAAGAACCAAGTTCATAATTTTAAGCAAATCAAAGTAAAATAGTGAAAGCATAGCACTTTAATGGTTAGTTAAATCATTTTTCTCATATCATCCTCACCATCATCATCCTCGTCATTACTATAAAAATCATCACTATCAGCATCCTCAACGAAATCCTCAAACTCGTCCTCGCTATCCTTATCTTTAATCCTTCCGTACTCATGCTCTTCATCAAAATCATCATCCTCATCACTTAGCACGCGCTTCCCACGTGCCTCGACGACGACGCCACGCATCCCACGCCCATCTCCTTTCTCCGCCAGGCTTAGCCTTCCAGAAGACCCAACAAGAGAACCCATTTCACTAAAATCAAAAATGGGTATTTGGGCATGTATCTTTTGGTTTGAAACAAACAAAGATTGAGCGATTTGATGTTCTTTAACCATGTTATTGATATAATTGGACCGACCAAGGATTTGGCCACGGAGAATCTGCTGCAAAGACTTGCTGTTTCTGAGTAGATTCCTTGCAACAGCTGCTGTGGTTGCCATTGATGCAAAGAAGTTTGATTTGGAGGTTTTGGGAGACGGAAACTTGGTGGTTGATCTTGTGGGGTTTTGAGTCCTTTGCGAGGGGCTTGATATTGTGATTACAGAAGGGTTTAGGGTTTATGGGAAGAGTTAGATTTCTGCCACGTGGCAAATGACGGTGTGGAAACTAGAATACAGATTCTAGAATTATCTAGAGAGAGTAACCCGACCGGGGCTTTCCGGTTACAATTGTTAAAGAGAAATATATAATGGGCCTTCTTTATGGATTTAATTTTGGGCCTTTGATCTAGTTTTATCAGAGTTTTATTTATCAAAAGTTAATTAAATTAAAAAATATATAGTTAAGTCCGATATTAAGTATCAAGTATCCAAGAGATGATATTGTATTCTTTCTAAACCTAAAACAAGTACTAAACTAATTATCCGAGTCTGTCTTAAACCAAAATATAGAGCATCCATACTTTAGTGGCCTAAATGATAACTCATTAAAAGAACTTGTAATTGATTTGAATAAAATCATATTTCGAAAATAACATTATTTGGAAGAAAAACAATTCAATCATATGATAAAAAATGACCATTTATAATTCAAATCATAAGAGAATAAAGTTTAACATCTAAACTATTGCCCTTCAATGTAAAACTATTGTACTTTAGAAAGTTAAATCTTGTGGATATGTCCTGATATTGAAACTGATCAGCCATCTTACTTGTCAAACAATGGTATAGGTAGATTTCTAGTTTGAACTCACTCAAGTGTTCCCCCTACTAAGTTAAGCCACAGACAGCTATGTTTCTATCGTTACTTTGCATAAAGTGTTGGCAACGGAATGCCAAAGTAATCATATTCTAATGCAAGAAATTGGAGAGTTCAGAGACCACATTTTTGGCTGCTAATTCATGTTCTTATTTTGATTCCAAATCTTGGACTTTAATTTGTCTCTGGCTTTTGTTATGTCTGAAAGTGTTGAGTCATATACAGACAATGATGGATTATAAATAAATGATAGATTACTGTATAGACTTACCAAAACAAGAGTCATATTAATTATAAATAAATTTCAATCCCAGGAAAAGACACCCTTAAAATTCAAATGATGGATTAAAAGTTTTAGAATTTACAGATTCTTAGGCTCTTGTACTTCTAGCTTTTGTCATCTTTCAAGAATGAGTCATATAGAATGGTTCACTCATCCGAACACAAGCATTCCAAAGAAAGGGAATAATCATAAGCTGCCAACATAGAAGACAATGCCTTAAAAAGCAAATCATGTCCAGCATATTTGAGCAGTCATTCAAAGATTTGAAAATTTTATTTAGTTTCTGATAAACCATCTGTATTAATCCACATCCATCAAATTTAGTCCAGACATTATTGGAACTAAGCATCGGTGTCTGTTCTCCATGAAAACAGAATGTAGATCTCATTACCTATAAAAGGGATGCTTCTGTGCACACTTTAAGCACCAAAAGCAATTCAAACACTTGCAAAACCAGAAAAGAAAGATGGCAATTAAGTCTGCAATCTCAACAGCATTCATCAGCTCAGTCTTTCTGATGCTAATTGTTGGTATAGATGCTGGTGGCATAGCAATCTACTGGGGTCAGAATGGAAATGAGGGTACATTGGCTGAGACGTGTGCCAAAGGCAACTATGACTTTGTGAACATAGCTTTCCTTCCAACCTTTGGCAATGGTCAGACTCCCATGATCAACCTTGCTGGTCATTGTGATCCTTACAGCAATGGATGCACTGGTTTAGGCTCTGACATCAAATCATGTCAAGCAAAGGGAATAAAAGTAATGCTTTCACTTGGAGGAGGAGCAGGAAGCTACTACCTTGCCTCAACCAAGGATGCTAGACAGGTGGCAACCTATTTGTGGAACAACTTCTTGTGGGGACAATCCTCCTCTCGCCCTCTAGGAGATGCTGTCTTGGATGGAATTGATTTTGATATTGAAGGAGGAACAAACCAACATTGGGACGATCTTGCAAGGTACCTCTCCAGGTATAGCGCACGTGGTAAGAAAGTATACTTGACAGCAGCTCCTCAGTGTCCATTCCCTGATGCTTGGGTTGGAGGTGCCCTTAAGACTGGCCTTTTTGACTATGTTTGGGTGCAATTCTATAACAACCCTCAATGCCAATACACACCAGGTGATATTGCAAACCTAGAAGATGCATGGAAACAATGGACTACAGATGTTCCTGCTACCAAAATTTTCTTAGGACTTCCTGCATCACCTGAGGCAGCTGGTAGTGGCTTTATCCCAGTATCTGATCTTACTTCTCAAGTACTTCCCGCCATCAAAGGTTCTGCCAAGTATGGAGGCGTGATGCTGTGGTCTAAGTACTATGACGATCAAAGTGGATACAGTTCTGCCATTAAAAATGATGTCTAGAAGAGTTTGTCTGTTCTATTTGCATTAATGTCTATGTTTAACCATGTCTAATGTAATGGAAGTATGTATTACATGTTTAAACCTTCTCCTCTCTTATGATCTCGCTTTTGAACTGAAGACCTCATAGTAGAGTTGTGAATTTATCATATAATTATGTTTCACACATCAACACAAACATGACTATCGAAGAATTAAAATATCACAGCCTAGAGCTTGCACTTTTCACTGTTCACTGTGTGCTTGGACCTTTCATCAGTCCAAGTTACCTGAACTTACAAACTGCCAATATATGCATAATACACCATGTTGGATCATTTTAATGGAATTATTTCAAGCAAATGCCTTCACATTTGGGTCAGTAAACTTAGCAGTGATGTGACAAGGAGGCGGATTTTGTTTGCCTGCTGAATCCACATTTGAACGCTCGGATGTAGTATGGTCTTCAGTTCCGTTGTAAAAGAACGATCAATGTCACCAATCCACAATTATGAAAAAAACCAAACCGATGAATAAACCAAATTAATATTATATATATATATATATATTAGTATATATAATATTATATACATTATTTTTAAATTTATATAAAATATATATTTTTATTATTAATTTTTATTTCATATTTTATAATTATGGATTAAGTTTATTAAATTTAATATTATAATTTGCAAAAGAATTTTCAAAATTTTAACCTTTTTGGTTTAAAATTGAACCGACCGAACCAATTTGATATTTGATCGATTCAGTTCTTCTTTATGTTTAATTGATTCTGATAAATTTTTTAAAATATATTTGATCCATTTGGTCTTTAACTATGATAGATCAAATAATTCAATTACTCATACTTAGTCCCAAATAAATGTTAATAGTCGAGATCTGATGTTAAGTTGAATATTTTTATACAATGTGCTGATTGTGTCCCAAATAGGAGTTAACATTTGAGATCTGGTGTTCATGTTCAGGTTGTGTCCCAAATAGGTGTTAGGTTGAATATCTATACCGTTAGGGGAAGAGGCTCAGTTTTTTATTTTTTTAATTTTTATGTATATAAAATTTAAAATATATAGCCTTACCACCTTTAAATAAACCAAATGAACCATCTTTTAATTTTTATTTTTTTTTATTTTTATGTGTATAAAATTCAAAATATATAACTTTACCACCCTAAAATAAATCAAATGAATTAATGTGAAAAAGTGGTAAAAAATCCAAGTTAAATTTTAGAGGCTTGGTTCAACCTGTCTTATGTCTAAATTTTGAAATTATTTTTTTTCTTTTCTTTATTTTTCTTGGTGTTTTTTTAAACCTTTCATTTGCTGTTTTTTCTTTTTTGGTTTCACCCTTCATTTTTTTTTTTGTTTTCACCCTTTCTCTTGGGTGTTTACCCTTCATCTCTTTTTTTTTTTTTAATTTTTTTTTTTGGTTTTCATCATTTCTCTCAGGTGTTTACCTTTCATCTCTTTTTTTTAGTTATCAACCTTTCTCCTCATCTCTTTTTTCATGAATCAACCCATAAATTTTTTCTCTCCAAACCAAATAAATATATTAAATGCTTTTTAACTTATATTTTTGGTTTTCACCCTTTTTTTTTTGTTTTTACCCTTTCTCCTATTCTCTTTTTCCATGAATTAATTAAATAATTTTTTAAACATTTGTTATATACTATTAGCAAACAAAGTTAATTAAAGAGGGGTGTCATATTGTAAAAGGAGAGACCCGAATCTCACATTGAAGAGCATATATGTTCAAATAAAATTTAAAGGTTTCATTGATGCTGCCTCTACAAGCTAAGCTGGGGTGGGTCAATCCTATCCTCCATGAATAGGTAGCAATTTGTTTTTCCCTCAGGATATGTTAGTCAATTACAACTAATCTTAATTTTATTCTCTTTTCTTTATATATCCGAGAAAACAACTCATCTCAAATGGCTTGACAAATGCACATTTTACTGCAGCAATGAAGAAAGGAAAATTGAAAATTTTTTCTTTTATATTTTTTACTCTTTTAGTAGTCTCCTGGTGGGGGGATATATAAAATTTTACTTTAAAAATGTTGTGAAAGAATAAAATAGGGTTATGTGTGCACTCGATGAGTTCCAAACATCTCTATTCCCATTTCTTAAAAGGAAAAAGAAAATTCAGTCACGTCCGTGCATGGATATTCTTTTAACCTGGATAGGATAATAGACAAAGAAATTTTAGAAACTAAGACCCATTTACTGTTGCAAACAAGGCTTATGTAAACTTGAAAGTATTTCTTTCTGAACATTCCGATCTTGGAATGTGTCCTGGGGAGAGGGTTTTTCTGCCAAAGATAGAGAGAGTCTCAGAATACTTATATTGTTTGTAGTACATAGGCTCAGACAACTTACATAAGCACACAGTAATTTACAGACTTATTTCAGAACAGAAGTAGAGATTGATACATCTCCATGGTGAACAGAAGTAGTAATACCAGCAGGCATTAGTTGCTAGATTTTAGTGGAAATTGATCTTCTGAAGCCATTGGCAGCTCTTCATGTATCGCTGATTCTTGAAATCTCTTTGGAAGGAAACATCGACCACCAAATCGCTGTTGCATGTATATGGTTGCAGCGAAGAACAGGCCCATCACAGGAATAATGAAGTCCCAAGCGGTTGAGTAGTAATCTGCTGCAGGATCTGCATAGATGTATGAGTCATCAATTCCAAGAAAATTGTGAGCCCTGTAAAGATCATATCTGTGAGGTACCAGACGAACAAGGGTAATTCCAATGTAAAAGAAACGAGACAGAGCCTCTTCTCTTGAGTTCTGGAACATGTTGAACAGGATTTGGGGGAAAAGAAAGGCATCAAGGATCAAACCAGCATAAGCTCTTGAACCACTCAAAAGGACCTGCTCGTGATCGTAGTATGAAGAATGCCATTCGGTGCCAACAAGATTCTTCCTCCACTTAGGAAAGAAGGCAAGGAGGCCCCCAGCTATGTATACTGGAATACAAACATAAAGCCCCCTCTTCTCCGCAATCCACAAGGGCTTTTTCTTTTCATCAGAGCATCTGGCTGTCCATGAGAGCATCAGAAGACGGATTTGCAGCAGAAAAGCCACCATTGTGACAACCCTAATGATCACCTCGTTCATTTCTAGCCACACTCCACTTCTAATCCAGACAGATCTTTCACTATCTTGGATGAACATTGCTTCAAGATTTAGAACCAGAGGGATTAAGTGTCCCAGGGCTAGAATAACAAGCATGAGAAGAGAAATGAAAGGACAAACCCCAGGGTTCTTTCTCACATGAAAGATTTGAAGTACTATAAAGACGATTGCAAGAGTGTTGGATATGACAGACATGATCATCTCGAAATCCATTCTCCAAATTGATTCCAATGCCCAACTGCGATAATAAGCTCTTCCGGAATAGTCCAAATGTCCAAAGTAAAGACTGTCAGTTGTTTCGCGCATGCTCTTAATGCTTCCCTTGATAATACCTCCTTTTCTGTCTGAGTTCAATGGAGGAAACTGAACATTCACAAGGATCTCGCAGTCCACTGAATGATTTAAAGATCCTGTGTTGGCTGACCTCAGATCTCTGCAGCCAACCATGCACAGATTACCTGTTTCAGAATCATAAACCCCTTCAGCAGAAATTTTGATTTCCACGTATCCATTTGAAGATTGGTTAAATGGATTAAGGCCAGCATCCAAATTCAAACTACGTAGCGTGATGCTCATTTTGTAACTGATTTCAAGCAAGCGGCCACTGGTATCTGACTCATTTCCATAATTTATAGGCCTTGAGCTTGAGGATGGTAATAGAAAGGGAAATCTCTGGTAAGGCTGATCGCCCACAGCAAGAGGTTCTGAAGAACCCCATTCAATTCTTTCTTTGGAACCCTTGACATTTGAGATATGAAAACTCATGTCCCCAGAATAGCCATCTGGGTACTGCCCCCTGCAGTTCCTTTTAGGTTTCTGTTTTGTACATGACTTCTGCACTTTATCAGTTTCCGTGTACTGATATTTCAAACCTTGAAGTTGAATTTGCCCACTGCCGCTACGGTCAGTATTTCGGAACAGGATCCTATCAAAGAAACCAGATTCATTCCTACGTTTCTCACTCCAAATTTCACCAACAACAGTACTTGTGTTTCTGATAGACAAGATCGCCGGGAATCTCAAGCTCAACCTTGTTGTGCAGTCTCCAACATGAGACTTCTCCAAGGAGCTTGATGCATCAAAGATTCGACAAGCAGCAATACAAAGCCGATTCTTCCTTGCATCCCAAGATCCTTCTCCAACTAATGAAGTGCTGAAATTGGAAGAGCGATAATACCGCATATAGTTATCGTTAGGAAATTCTATCAGAAACCTCAAGCTTAGCTTATCCTCCGAGCACTGAATCATACTCAAAGACATGACCTGTGGCAAATATCCAATACCATCACCAAATGGATTGCAACTCTTTGAAGAATCACAACCACTTCCATACTCCAGCTCAAAAGCATTGGCTCGACCTAGAAACATATTACAAATAGTTCGAGTCCGTGATAAGCTGAGGGATGACTTCTCTGGAACATCAGTCCCCCCAGGACACCCTTGAGTTGATAGTTTTGAAACTTTAGTGTACTGGTAACTTATTTGAGGAAACATCAGCAAGGAAATTTGACCAAAGTAATTTGGTTCATCAGCAGCGTACAAGCTATCCATGGTTCCAGTGACTAAAGTGTTGATAGTGCTTGACTTCTTAAGATTATTCAACTTGAGAACAGCTGCAAGATGAAGCAGTTTGCCTTCTTTGGTGTAAGTATAGCTTGTTCCCACCATGCAAAGCCTTCCGGTAGTTCCAGACCAGAAGCCTTGAAAGTCGAAGTCCAGAGCTCCACGATTGCTTGAATCACTTGAATATGAATACAATGAACCAGAAAAACTCTGTTCATAGTAATACGAGCTTTGGAAGATCAGGTTTCCTTCTACCTTGAAGACATCCTCAACATGAGTTGTATATACGTGGTGAGTTTCGAAAGTTAGAACTTTCGATTCAGATTGATAATAAAGAGAGGAGCTTGAATTCAGGACTTCATCCCCTCCACTATAGTAACCGTTTTGACGTTCAGGAAATGGGGAGATATTGAACTCCTCATTAACTGGCTTTGATTCCTGAACGACTGAATCACAGTAACGACCATAATTAGATTGAGATGCCGTGGAAGAGACCATATTCAAATAGAAGAAAGAGGAGAGGAAAAACAGCAAGGAAGCATGAAAAAACGGTAGTTTTGTGGAACAATCCATAACTCTAGGCTTGAATTTCTTCAGACAAGAAGATTGGGAGGAATAACTAATAGAAAACTTGGAAAAGAGGTGAAAGAATGTATAGCTTTATATCTCTCGCTGGAGCTGAGGTGAACTGGACCCAAGGTGGTGGTCGGTGGAACGTCGTGGGAAACTTCCTAGCTCAAGAGCTTGGGAAAAAGAGCTACTTAAGACTTGACTAAAAATGAGCAAAGGATAAGTCTTTCAACTATGTTGGTTTCAGTCACACATGGACGGAGTCCAGCAAGAAGAAAAATTGCTATACTAAGGAAGGCAAATTTTCTACTTTGCAACTGATAGAACATTATGACATGTTATCCTTAATCAACTAAGTAAATAATTGATCAGATCAGCATAGAGAACCAACACATTATTCAATTTAGTTCAATTGAGACAAGCCTAAAATACATGTGGCATCCTGATTGTTAAAATCATACATTCAGCAGGATAAAGTAGGAATCCAGAGGACCACTCAATTTTGGAACATTTAATCCAATTAAGTTGACATGTATGCTACCTCGATTGAATTTATTTACTTTGAAGACACTCAAAGGGATAAAGAAGAACCAAAAACAATAAGGACCAATATCAGCATATCTATGGCTGAGGAAAGTCTTTAGTCTCCCCTTGTGCTGCTCCGTTAATGAATTATTTTCCATATAGTTTGTGGAAATTTGTCCCAAGTTTAATTCGACAATGAACTTGTTATCGACTCTAAGTCAAGGTCAATGCACAAGGTTGCTATCACATTGTCTTCTTTTTGGGTCCAAGAATGGCTGTGAAGAACACAGCAAAGCACTGATAACGAGTGGTGGTCCAAAACTAAATTTTTGCCCAGTCTTGGGTTTGAAGACTTTTCTTGGTTTACTTGGAAAATTATGCTGGCCCTACAATTTACTTGGCATGAATTAGAGATCATGGAAATTCCTGGTACCTGCTAAGACTTGGAGTATATCCCCTCACCATTGACTTTGAGATAGCTGAACCGGTCCAACCGTGCTTTCTCTTCATTCAGGGTAATTAAAATTTTGTGCTTCATTTTCCATATGGAAAAGGGAAAGGAAAAGGTGAAATTACAACTGTCAGAGAAGAAATTGTAGAGAAGCAAATGCCTGAAGTTTTTAGCTATCTTTTAGTAATTCAAGCAAATGCCTGAAGTTGCACGTTGCAACTGCATGATTTTGTTAAAGGGAAGAATGAAAAATGCTCTCTACAATTTCATCAGCCTAAAGTAAGAATCAAAAGTAGGAAATGAGAACAGGGTATATAAAACCTTGACCATTTTGCTTCAATGGATCCACAAGAGGCTAAAATTTAAAGGAGGTACATGGATAAGAGAGACATTAGGTAATTTGGTATTGAATGGCAGATGAATTGCCTTCTGTTCCATTGATTCTGAGAAACATACAGCAAACTAAGCACTGGAGTTTTCCAGGAATTATGATTCACTGGGCACAGGGATATTTCCATAGCCTTCCAGCCCTTTAAATCTCTGGGGGAGAATGCAACGACCACCAAACCACTGCTGCAAGTAAATGATTGCAGCAAATAGCAAAACACCGAGAGGGATAATGACATCCCAAGCAGTGGAGAAAAAGTCCTCCGCAGGATTCACATAAAGATATGTTCCCTTGTATTGAACATAGCTGTGATCACCATAAAGATCATATGCATGAGGCAGCAATCGAACAAGACTGATGCCAATATAGAATGAGGGGCTAAGTACATTTTTTCTTGAGTTTGAGAACATATTGAGCAGTATCTGAGGCAGAAGAAAACCATCTGAGACTAAACCGGCATAAGATTTCAAGTCATCCCAAGTAGAACGCTGCCAGTAGTCTACAGGACGAGTGGGAAGCAACACAACCTCACGTCTATGGTTCCCCCTACCAACAAGAATAACAATGAATGCCCCAGAAGCATACAATGAGACAGTCACAAGCAAGGTCATCTTCTCAGCAAACCACAGGCCCTTCTGGTTTCCTTCATTAATTGATCTATCTGCAAATGCTAGCTGGAGAATACGAAATTGCAGCAAGAAAGCTACCATTGAAATTATCCTTACAATTACTTCATTCACTTCAAGCCATCCACCAGTTTGAAACAAGACAGTTTCTTGATCATGTTTTTGCCAGAACAAGGCTTCATAGTTAAGCACAAGAGGAATCATTTGGCCCAAGGTAAGAACCACAAGCATAACAAGTGAAATAAAGGGGAGAACTTCTGGATGCCTCTTCACATGATAGAGCTGACATCTAATAGATAGACATGCAAGTGTTTTAGATATTAGAACCATGGTAATCTCAAGATCCATGGTCCAAATGGAATGTCTTGCTTGCTCCCTACTATAAGCAAGTGAATACACATCTAGATGGTCAAAGTAAAGAGGATCAGACTTTTTCCGTGTACTTTCAATTCTTCCCCTGATATAACCTCCATTTTCAAATTGTTTTACTGGAGCAAGTTGGAAGTTTAGAAGAATTTCACAGTCCATAGAAGCATTTTCTGGCACTAGATTGATTGATGCAAGCTTTCTGCAACCTACCATACATAAGCCCCCCGTGTCAGCATCATAAATCCCTTCAGCAGTAATCTCTACTTTCTCCTCAAGTAGGCTTGCTACATAAACTTCATCCGTTAACTTGGGAGGAGGGTGCAGTCTCATGTCTATCTTGTAGCTAATATTGGCTTGGCCCTGAGGTTTCCACCTAGTAGGCCTACTAGATGAAAGCTGTGAGATATCAGTAGCAACTTGAAGAGAACTCTGCTCATAAAACTGATTACCGACAGTTAGAGCCACTGCAGAACCCCATCCGGTTTTTCCTTTTGAATTTTTAATTGCCATGTCAAACTTCATATCAGAAGAAGAAGGATTAGGGTATCTTTGTCCCTTGTTTCTGACAAGTTTCTTTCCCAGGCATAAATTTTTTATTCTATCAAGTTCAGTGTATTCGTATTTCAAACCATGAAGGGCCTCCACACTATTCTTGGTACTTCGAAACACAATTTTATCAAAGTAACCTGAATCATTCACAGTTTTGTTGGTCCAAATTTTCCCCATTATGCTGCTAGTCTCTTTAATTGACCATATAGCAGGGAACCGCAAGCTTAACCTTATTGTGCAATCTCCAACATGAGCATTAGACCAAGAGTCTGCGATGTCCAAAAATCGGCAAAGAAAAACACACAGCTGATTCTTCTCATTATCCCACATTCCTTCTCCAATCAATGTTGTGTTGGGATTGAAAGGCTGGTAGAACCTAAAATTGCTATTATCTTGAAATTTTAAGAAAATTTGAACTCTCTTTTGAACATCTGTACAATAAATGATATCTAAATACACAGAACCAGGTAAATTCCCAATTTCCTTACCAAAAGGGAGGCAGTTCTTCCCGGAGCTGCAGCCTGTATACTGCAAATTAAATACCTTCGTAAGACTTGAGAATTTTGAACAAAATGTCCTTCCCCAGAGTAGACTGTATATTGGAAAATTCTTTTCAGCATCACTTTCACCAGAAAAATCACCCATGGAATCTCCAGACACAAAAGTCAACTTGTAATTCAATTGTGGAAGCATCATTATGGAAATTGGTTCAAAGTAATTCTTATCATTACTTGGACTCAAACTCTCTAAAGTTCCAGTAATCAAAGTAGTGATGATACTTGAATTCTTGATATTATGAAGCTTAAGAAGAGCTGCAGGAGTAAGCAGATTACCTTTTTTCAGGTAAGCAGAACCCGTTCCAACCATACAAAGTTTCCCGGAAGATTCTGACCAGAAGCCGTGCAGCTTCAAATTGAATGGATTTTTGTAATCAGCAATCACTATCTCGCGAGGAGTGAGACTTGCATTGTTTTTTGTTCCATCTGAGATGCTTCTCACATGATATGGACTTTGGAACTCCAAGCTTCCTTCCATCATGAACACGCCATCTTTATCAGTTTTGGTCACCAGGTTGGTGTAAAATGAGAATGAATTTGTGTACCTGCTTATATTTGCATTCAGAATTCTGTTTCCACCAGGGTAGTAAAACCCAGTTTGGTATTGACCAAATGGACCAAACTCGTTAGTGGGAGGCTCAGAGGTTGGGACTGATGCGGGGACAATTAAAGAACAATGATCAGAGTAAGAGTCTGCAGTGGATGAGACAGGTTTCACTGACAGAAAGAAAAATGTCAGTGTCCATAGCCATAGCATCATTGGAGGTTTCACTGTCATGGCATGAAGAAGTTTTGAAGAAAAACCTTTTCTGGAAAAATGATGAACACTTGAAGAACGGAGGAAAATTGAGAGAAAAGCTGTATATCAGAGAATCATAAGCCACCACTGTGTAATGGTTGCATTTTCATTTATATACTCTACAAAAAGTTGTGAATTCCTTGGATTCAACCTTGGGAGACTAAATCGAGGTGAGTCAGCTAAGGATGGAAAACAATACATTGTTTTCTGTGCAATGCCAACGTTAACAAACTCAAACTAGCAGACATGGCTGTTAATCCTCCAGCAGGAAGAACCAAAACGGCAGCACTATTGTGCAACAAGACCTAAACGACACACGGAAGTACAAGGAAACAAACTAAGCAGGAAACGACACCATATGAAGAACACCCTTCTTCAACCTTCAACTTTCTGTTGGTTCCCGCCAAACCTTCAACCAGATTAGGAATCAGATCTTCGACATGGCAACCTCAGAGAAGGAACAATCAACTTTTGCAGTGTAAATGAAGTTCTGATACATATCTGAAATGAATTTGTCGAATTTGTCATTTTATGTTAATACATCATAGTTCCACCCGCAAAACAATTATATTCTGCCATGGATAAAGACATCATCAAAAGTCAAGCATAACTTCAAAATTTCAGCAAAGCCTGACCAAGTCGGATGGCTTTTTCTCCTTGTATGCTTTGTTCATTGCAGGCCTGTACCTACTCTATTTGGTTTCTCCTGGAAACAGATATACACATGCCGAGAAGTTGTTGGTGGAATTGGTTAGAAAGCAACTCCTAAGATGTTGACAGAAATTGTATGATTCAGATTTATCATGCAGAAAATTATATACAGAAAACTATGTTCAACTTAATTGTTTATAATCTTTCTTTAATTAATTACTTCTGTGGAAGAATTTTGTTTATCTTTTTAACAGATCAAAGCTTGGCAAGTGTTCAGACATGAACAATTTATCAGTGAATATCTGACTTAATCAATGTATTATCTTTCCAGACTAGATGCTAGAATTCTCAATCCTATTATTAGAATGCCTTTAGAACTGTTATGATTCACAACAATAAGAAAATTCAAAGAAAGCTAACATTCGGACAACCTAGATTCCTCAAAAAGAGGAAAATAATAGTGACTTTTGATATACATGAGCTCTAGGGGCTCCAACAATGAATTAAGGGAATGGAAACATCTGCTACATATCTTTTGGTCTTTCCTTTTCTGCTTTCTTTTTTCATTTTGAACTTTTAACCTCCTATTTAGAAGACTACAGTGGCTAGTATTATGGTATCAACTTTTTTTTTCTTAATGATGGTTTGTCTGTTGTAAAGGATCTATAAAATGACTTTACTAGCTCAAAAATTGTTTAGAAACAGAGTAGACTTTATGCAATTCAATTCTGAAAGCTCACTGGCCTAAGAACTCTATGTTGAAGTACAAGATTTTCTCTGGCAGTCATGATTCACTAATCAGTTAGACTGGAGAAGATGAAATTGTAGTAGAAGTGCCACCATTGTGACAACCTTAACAATCACCTCATTCGCTTTTAGCCATCCACCACTTCCAAGCAAGACAGGTTTTGGACAAAGCTTTTGCAAGAACAAGGCTCCAAAATTTAGCAGCAGAGGAATTATGTGCCCAAGAGCTAGAAATACTAGCATGAGAAGCGGGATTGAAGGAAAGCACATGGGGGTGCTTTTTGACAGGCAAGATTTGATGTCCTATGAATAAACACGAAAGAGTATTCGACAGGACAGCCATTGACAATCTCCAAATTCATTCTCTAAGTGCATTGTCTTGCTTGACTGTTACTATAAGCAGCTCCTGATAAGGACAGAGGTTCAAAGGAAGGAGGGTCAGACTTTTTCATGCCTGTTCTTAATGCTTCCATTGATGAAACTTCCACTCTTCTTTGCATTCAAGGGAGGAAGCTGAATATTTACAAGAATTTCACAATCCAGCGAATCATTTGGATATATGTGATTATATAACCTGTGACATCTGCAGCCTACCATGCAACAAATCACTTGTTTCATCATCGTAAACACCCTCAGAAGAAATTTGGACTCGCAAGTTTATATCTGAAGATAAATTAAATATAGTAACTCTTCCATCCAACTACACACCAGCTAGCAATGTAATGCTCAATTGGTAGCTCATTTTGACTAGAGTACTACTGGGATTTGCTTCATAAACAGAATTTATGGCCTGAAGCTCAACAATGGCATTAGGTAGGAAAACCTCTGAGAAGGTTGATCACCAATCGAGAGGGCAAATGAGAAACCACATGCAATTTTTCCTCTATAACTTTTAACTAATATGTCAAGAATTGCTCTCAGTGTATTGCATTGGAGGGAAATGAGCTTTGAATTCTAAAGTTGTTGGATAATAGGAACATCCTAATTTGTTAAGTTTTATTCTTCAAATATGTTATATATATATCTGTCAAATATGTAACCATCCTCTTGTATATATCCAAAGAAAAAATAGAAGCACAAAAAAGAGGATTCAAACGCAGATCTTGCTTGAATAATTCTTTTCAGTTCATAGAATAAACCATTATATTCTATTGATCATCACAGGAAGTGTGGCATGCCAATAACAAAGAGAAAGAGAGAAACTAGACTTTTCAGTGCATTCAAGAGTATCCTAATCCTGATGACTTATAAAAAAGTGTTCATTGCCACCAGCTAAATCCTTAAGTTACATCTTGATCCACTTATGCACTTTGTTGTACAAATATTGGATTGACCATACAACTTCTGTTTTGCAGCTCAAAATTATTTGAAAACAGTACTGACGAGGAAATACCATATCATGCACTAGGTTTCACTGGCCTTGATGATTTACTGAGTAGTGGACCTTTCTCTGGATATGCTTCCAACCCTCTAAATCCATGGGGAAGAATGCTATGACCAACAAACTGCTGCTGAAAATAAACGATTGCAGCAAGCAAAAGGAGTACCAGAACAATAATGACATCACAAGCAGCAGAGAAAAAACCTTTGTCAAGATTTGCAGAAAACTGTAATATGTTATAGAGAACATAGCTGTGATTACGATAAAGATCGTATGCGTGTGGCAGCAATCGAACAAAAGTTGTTCCAATATAGAATGAACAACTGAGAGCATTCTGTTTTGAGTTAGAGACAATATTGAGGAGTATCTGAGGCAAAAGAAAACCGTCTAAGAGTAAACCTGCAAATGATTTCAAGTCATTGCAAATGGGAAGATGCTGGTAATCTACAGGAGAAGAGCGAAGCAACAAAAGCTGTGGTCTGTACTTCTCCCAGGTGACGAGCAGAGTAATTTTGGCGCCGGCAGCATACAGAACCACAATCACAAGTAAGGTCATTTCCTCAGCAAACCACAAGTGCTTTTGGTTGCCATCATGGAATCGAGCTGAGACTGTTAACTGCAGAAGGCGAAGTAGCAATAAGAAAGCAACCACCATAACTACCATCACAATCACTTCATTTAATTTAAACCATCCACTGATATGGAACAAAACCTTGTCTTGATCTTGTTTGTTCGGGCACAAGGCTTCAAAGTCTAGCGCAAGGGGAATCATGTGGCCCAACGTAAGAATCACAAGCATAACAAGTGAAATGAAGGAGAGTACTTTTGGGTTCTTCTTCACATGATAAAGCTGCAATCCCACAAAGATGCATACTAGAGTGTTAGATATTAGAACCATTGCAATATCAAGATTCATTGTCCAAATTAAACTTCTTCCCGGATCAGTTTTGTTGGCAGCTGAAGACACATCTAGACAGTCAAAGTAAAGAGGATCAGATTTTTTTCGCATGCTTTCAATGGTTCCCTTGATATAACCTCCATTTTTATTTAATTCTAATGGAGCAAGCTGAAAGTTCAAAAGAATTTCACAATCCACAAAAGCATTTTGGAACACTTCATTGTCTGACCCAAACTTTCTGCAACCCACCATACACAAGTTTCCAGTTTGAGAATCATATACCCCTTCAGCGGTAATTTCCAATTTCTCTTCAATTAGATAAGAAGAATAAACTCTTCTAATTAAATTTGTAGGAGTTTGCAATGTGATGCTCACCACGTAGCTAACATTGATAGGCCTACTTTGTATCCAATTTGCAGGCACTGCACTTTCAAACATGGAGCTACGATGAGCCACTGGATACAAATACTGCCTGTATAACTGATCACCAATGGCGAGAGGAACTGCCAAACCCTGTCCATATTTTATTCCAGAACTTTTAACTAGCATGTCAAATTTCATACCCGCGGAATGGCCATTTGGATATTCTCCAGTTTTTCTAACCAGCTCCTTTCTCGGGCATAAATTCTTTACTCTGTCAAGTTCAGTGTATTCATACTTCAAACCTGGAACCCCCTCCATATGATTCTCAGTTCGTTGAAATACAATCCTATCAAAGTAACCAGAATCATTTACAGTTTTCTTGGTCCAAATTTTCCCCATCACGCTGCTAGTCTGTCTTATAGACAAGATTGCAGGGAACCTCAAGCTCAACCTTGTTGTGCAATCCCCAACACGAGCACTAGACCAAGATTCTCCGATGTCTAAAAATTGGCAAACAAAAACAAACAGCTGACTCTTCTTATCATCCCACATTCCTTCTCCAATCAATGTTGTGTTGGGATTGAAAGATAGATAGTTACCAACATCAACATGGCTATTATTTCTAAATTCTACCAAGACTTGAATTCTCTTTTGTACCACTGAACACCTAATGTTTTTAATAGACAGAATGCGAGGCAAATAGTCAATCAGCCCACCAAGAGGAAGGCAATTCTTCTTTCCAGAGTTGCAGTCACTTGAGTACTGCAACTTAAATACACTTCCAATGCTTGATATTATTGAGCAAAATCTTCTAACTGGAAGCACATTGAATGGACAATTCTGCTCAGAATCACTTTCAGCTGAAAACTCATCTAAAGAGTCTCTAGAGTCAAAAGTGTACTCATAATTCAATCGTGGAAACATAATTGTAGAAATTGGTTCAAAGTAATTCACCTCATCACTAGAACTTAGACTCTCTAAAGTTCCAGTAATTAAAGTGGTGATGCTACTTGAATTCTTGAGATTTCTAAGCTTGAAAACTGCTGAAAGAGTAAGCGGATCACCTTCTTTGGAGTAAGCGGATCCTATTCCAACCATACAAAGCTTCCCAGAAGATTCTGACCAGAACCCATGTAGCTTCAAAATGAATGGACTTCGCAGATGATATGGTCTGTAAAGTGTCAAGCTCCCTTTAATCTTGGACACATCATCTGCATTGGTTTGATGGACATATCTCGTTTCAAATGACAATAAATTTGAGATTCTGGTGATCTTTGGGTCAAGAATTCTGTTGCCACCAATGTAATAACCAGTGTTGTGCTCATCAAAAGGCCCAAAGCTGTCACTGTAAGTTTTGGAGTTGGCGATTGACTCGGGGACAACTGAAGAGCAATAATCAGAATAAGAGACTTCAGGCTCACTCTCACTGGATACTTCAACAACATTCTCAGCAGATGAGACGGTGGCTGCTGAGAAACTAATGAACAGAAAGAAATACATGTGTGTACAAATCTGCAGCATTATTGAAGGTTTCATTGACATTGTAACATCAAAGAAGAAGAAACAATTAGCTATGTAAAGCTCTGATAAGCATCTCAAATTTATTTTTGGAATTTGTCTTTATCCAAGTATGCCTGTTCCACAAAATAAAATCATTTATTACCTGTCTTATTGAACATTTTGCCGGTACAACTGAAGTGATGCTTGGATCAGTCCGCCCAATCTTGCATTCAAAAGACTCTTTAATTCTCATTTGTAGTGTAGCACACATAAAGACAGCATGAAGGTTAAGGAAGAGTTGAAACTTTCTGCATAGTCAAACTAAGCTACGAGGAGCAACAAGAAAGAATCAGGTACCTATTACTCCTCGTATGTATTATTCCTTGCAGGCCTGCATAGCAACTTTCGTACAAACTCCTTTTCACTTTCATTCCTACAGAACCAGATAAAGATAAGCCAAGAAGGCATTGATTCCAACGCATTGATCAAAGAGCAACTTATGAAATGCTAATAAGAACGATATAAAATTCTAAATGGAAAATGAAAGCTTGGAAGGATTTTAATTTGGTTATTCATAGTCTTTTGTATATCTCTATCTGTTAGTACTTTGGTATTCCTGATCAGATTAAAGTGATCTCTTCATCTAACAAAACTTATCCTTGGCGTGGAATTTGAACTACTTCTGTTATTCAAAATTAAGGCATTTTTTGGAGGAACAAAGGGGAAATTTGGAGAAGGACCAGTCTACTTAGGAACTTTTAAATTTCTTCCAAGAGAAAAAAAGGCAAAAGTGATTTTCACATTATAGTTTACATTAGCATCTAAAAGCTTTGAAAATTAATTCAACAAATGAAACTGCCACATAGTCTCCCAACCATAGTAGCACATTTCTGTTTTCCATAGTCAAAACAAGGAAGAAGTCGATATAAAACCTCCTAATAGAGAGGGTTTATGTGGCTTCCAGTAATGCTATGTCTCAACCATACTATTTTCTTTGCGTTGTACAGTATCCACATTACAACTTGCTCTGACATTGTTAAAAATCAGACGACAATGATGCACTTTCATCTAAAAACCCTCAGTACCAACTGCAAATGGCATATAACATTAGGGAATTTCTCTGGAGTTCATAAGTCACCAATCGCTGGTACCTTCTCATATGCTTTTAACTCTCTAAATCTACTAGGAAGAATGCAACGACCACCAAACCTCTGCTGCAAGTAAATAATTGCAGCAAAGAGCAGGACTCCAAGAGCAATACAGTCAACCCAAGCATTGGAGAAAAAATCTTCACTAGGATTCGCAAAAAGGTGCATTCCGTTCTGTTGTATGTAGCTGTGATTGCTGTAAAGATCATACACATGTGGCAGCAACCTAATGAAAGTGGTTCCAACATAGAATGAATAGCTGAGAGTATTTTCTCTTGTGTTTGAGAAAATGTTGAGTAGTATCTGAGGTAGAAGAATACCATCCAAGACTAAACCTCCATAGCATTTTAAGTCTTTCCAGGTGGAATACTGCTGGTATTCTACCTGATGGGAGGGAAGCAACATGACATGCTGCTGCTGCTTGACAACCTTAGGGCTATGCTTCACTGAGTTAACAAGCATAGCAATGACGGCCCCAGCAGCATATAGTGATACAGTCACAAGCAGGGTCATTTGCTCAGCAAACCACAGGCCCGTTTGGTTTCTGATCTAGCTGACAATGCTAGCTGGAGAAGGCGGAATTGCAACAAGAAAGCTACCATTGTCATTATCCTTACAATTACCTCATTCAATTCAAGCCATCCAGTGCTATGAAACAAACTAGTAACTTCAACTTGTTGTTTTGAGAACAAGGCTTCAAAGTTTAGCACAAGAGGAATCATGTAGCCCAAGGTAAGAATCACAAGCATAACAAGTGAAATAAAGGAAAGTACTTCCAGATTCTTCTTCACATGATAGAGCTGCAACCCCACAAAGACACATACCAGAGTGTTAGATATTAGAACCATTGTGATCTCCAGGTCCATAGTCCTAGTGGATTGTCTTGCCTGCTCAACACTGTAGGCTGCTGAAGACACATGCAAACGATTGAAGTAAAGAGGATCAGACTTTTTCCGTGTACTTTCAATGGTTCCCTCAATGTAACCTCCATTGTTATTTGATATTAATAGAGGAAGTTGGAAATTCAGAAGAATTTCACAGTCCAAAGATGCATTTTGCGAAAGTTGATCCTTTGACCTAATCTTTCTGCAACCAACCATGCACAAGGCTCCTGTATCAGCATCATAAATCCCTTCATCAGTAATGTCCACTTTCTCTTTGGTTATGTTAAATAGAACACCTCCACCATCTACCTCTGGAGCACGTCGAAATGTGATGCCTATCTCATAGCTGATATTGACAGGACCATCTAGCACTGTTCTTACAGGCCTTGAGCTAGAAGGAATGCCCATCAGATACAAAGCTTGCTTGTAAAGCTGACCAACAACAGAGAAAGGAACTGCAAAGCCCCATCCAGTTTTGCCTTCAGAACTTTTAACGAACATGTCAAATTTCATATCAATGGAATTATCACCAGTTGGATAACTTTCTACCTTTCTTTTGGCTGGCTTCCTTCTTGGGCATGACTTTTTTACTCTCTCCATTTCTGTGTATTCATACTTTAAGCCTGGAAGCCCCTCCATTTGATTCTCAGCACTTTGAAACACTATTGTATTGAAGTAACCTGAATCATTCATGCTTTTGATGGTCCAAAATTGACCCACCATGCTACTGGTTTTTCTCAGTGACAAGATGCCAGGAAACCTCAAAGTCAACCTTGTTGTGCAATCCCCAACACGAGCATTAGACCAAGATTCTGCAATATCCAAAATTCGACAGACAAAAACACACAGCTGATTCTTCTTATCATCCCAGAATCCTTCTCCAATCAATGTTGAGTTGGGATTAAAAGGGTGGTAGAACCCAACATAGTTAACATTGCGAAATTCTATCAAAAGACGAACTTTCCTTTTGACCTCTGAACAATACTCGAGTCTTCTCAAAGATATAGAAGAAGGCAAATGCCCCAGTACCCCATCAAAAGGAAGGCAGTTCTTTCCAAGGCTGCAACTACGTGTGTACTGCAAATTAAAGACATTTCCAGCGGTTGAGATTATTGAGCAAAAACCTCTTCTTGGCTGTACATTGTATGGCAAACCCTGCACATTATCACTTTCACCAGAAAACCCATCCACAAAGTCCTCAGAAACCAACGTGTAGTTATAATGCAATTGCGGAAGCATCAACAAGGAAACTGGGTCAAAGTAATCCTTAGCACTACTAAAACTCACGCTCACTAAAGTTCCAGTGATCAGAGTAGTGATGTTATTGATATTCTTGAGATTACTAAGCTTAAGAACAGCAGAAGGAATCAGCAGCTTACCTTCTTTCGAGTAAACAAAGCCTCTCCCAACCATGCAAAGCTTCCCAGAAGATTCTGACCAGAACCCTTGTAACTTCAAATTCAAAGGACTTCTGGACGAAACTCCAGGCCCGTAAGCCATATTTCCCACATAGTTTGGGCTTTGAAACACCATGCTGCTTTCAATCTTGAAAACCCCATCTCTATAAGTTCTATACACCAACCTGGTACGAAAAATGAATGAATTCCAGAATCTGGTTATGTTCGAATTGAGAATTCTGTTTCCACCAGAGCAGTAATATCCAGTCTCGTACTGGCGGAAAGGGCCAAAAAAACCGTAAGCGGGGGAATAATGAAAATAGGGGGTTGATTCAGGGACACTTGAAGAGCAATAATCAGAATAAGAGATGGCACTATCAGTAGATAATGCTTCAGTTTCAGTGCATGTGACAGGTTGTATAAAGAAACTAATGAACAAAAACAAAACTGTGAATTTACAGAGCCATAGCATCATTGCCACTGTAATATCAAAGAAGATGAAACAGATGAACCCCTGCATAACCAAGGTCAGGTATATATCGAAAATGGTTTTCTTGAGTTTGTCATTTTTCATACTTATCTGGTATCGTTTCACCAGGAAGATCATTTGGGTGGCTTTCCCACCTCTTCTGAATTATACTATCCAGTGTTGTTTAGTATTGATAAAGACAGGATCAAAGTTACATGGAAAACTTGGAAACTTCCGCAAACAATTTTGGATGGATTTTCCTTACAGGCCTGCATTACATATTAAAAACAAAATATTTCCATGTGTATCTTATATGCAGGATGTTTAGTTATCTTTACTAGGTCAAAGGTATCTTCTTTATCATGAAAGACCTGCCAAGTGCTAAACTTTTACACTACTAACAAAGAACAAAAACACAACACACAAACACACAAAGCCCCAGCTAACAGCCATATTGGAGACCCTGTCTTTTTCTTCCTTTTCTTTTGTAACCGTTAATATGATTCTGATGACTCCTCCTATCACCAGAACATAAGTTCAGGATGTTATTATTCATATCAAGAATATTTGAATTTACATTAGCATACAGAAGCTGTAAAAACGAAATAATGAATGGGAAACTTCTACATTGCATCCAAAACCAACAGGAAAACATCCAGAATAATTGTTAAGATTTCTCTCAATCCTTATATACAATTACTCAAGAAACAGAACAAGCCATCAATTTACAGCAATAGTTCCAAGGCACCTCAGGTTCTCATCGCCAGTGATGATACGAGCAACTGCTACTCTGTAACAGTATATTCCATCCTTGTGTTAAGTATATAAGTTAACTTGTGCACCTCTAATCAAAAATGATTTTGCACGGTCGAGAAATCGAGAAAGAACCTATAACCCCCATCCATATATATATGTATGTACAATGTCGAAACTCAATGTAAGAGTCCTATGGATGAAAGCATATGACACTCTGCAATTCAAATCTAAACTTCTTGATAAGAGATCAGTTAAACTACTTTGCATATTTATAAATAAAACCAATCTGGTAAAGTTTCAAAATTTTAATTTCAAAAAGTAGTTCAAATTGCAGCCTGCATATTATCAACTCGATTATTTTGACATTTGGGGACAGTAAGGAATTTCTCACAATCCTTGGCTCCAAGTACTGTAAATTCTTTCACGAGCATATTTACACACCCAGCCACAGAGTCCTTAAACTTCTGAGAGCAGCTCTTGTCACCTTCATCGACATCTTGAACACCACCTTTTACCAGGCAACCTACCTGAGCACCATCCATATATGCTTTACACGCCACGAGAATATCATGAGCACGTTTGTAGAAATGGCCCACAACAAAGTCCTCAAAATGCTGCATCCAAACATGATTTTGTTAGAATTTAAAGCCAAAGAGAAGCAACGGTAATCATACATTCTAACTGGCATTGTGAAACAAAATTTCCTTATGGTATCATCAATATCAAAAACAATTGCAAATGACTAGTATCACACTACAGGTCAAAAACTAATGGAAGGATCAACAAAAATTCTTGCAACTTACCTTTGGTGGCCTCCTCATGGAGTAGGTCATTGTCTTCAGTGACAAGATAAAAGTCTCCTCATTGTATTGCCGGGACAATGATTCACCTTTTGGGGTGCCACAATGATGTGCCCATCCAGGCTCATTAAAGTAAGGCTTCTGATTCAAGATTAGAGCCTGAATAGATACCAGAACTTGGAGCATGGTTGACATACCAGGTATCCACTTCTCATTCTTATTACCAGACCAGGTGTTAAGAAGACTAAGGCATACTTTCCCACAACTATACAAATTTGGATTGAGTCGAAGTCCACCAGAGTGGTAATAAACATGCTGAAACAAGCAAATCCCCAACCATCAAAACAAACATGTATAACAGAAGATAACATCATACAAGATGCAAGATAATATTTCAAAATCATAAACCTAAACTACATACCGGTGGTACTTTAGGATAGCTAGCAGGGAAGAAAACATCAAAGAAGAAGAGACCATCATGATAGGGAGTACCCTCTGCTCCTATAATTACAGCCCTTAAGAGATCCATCCTTGATTCATAAACCCTAACAAAAATAGTATCTGTTGAAACAAAAAAAATGAGATAAAGTAAGAAACAATATTATTTAATACATTTCATCAGCAAAGGAGGAGAGTTTTGCAAGCACAGTGGAAGACCTCAGCAGTTAATATTGCATCCAAAACTGAATGTGCATTTTAAGTCGCAATTCAAGTTTGCAGTATTCACTAAATGACGGATTTATTGAAAAAGTTATCAAATCAAAATTCTCTCAGAGAAGTATATAACGCATAAAACTCACCTGGCAAATCCTTCTCAAGTATTTTCCACTCCTCCTGAATCTTCTTTGCCCAATTCTTTGGCGGCTGCCACAAATAGCATTAACAAAGACCAAGTTTATTGGTTGAAAAATTAAGAATACGAAACGAAGAAAGAAAGACCTTACTGTATCATAAACAAACTAGTCACCTGCTTCGTTGAAGCACCACTGGAAGCATAGTGATGGTCCGAAAAATCATCAACAGTATCAAACTGTTTAAAAAGTTGGAGCTTACTGAGGATTTCTTCTTCATTTACAATTCTCTGATTTCTGATTTCTACCACTTCTTGAGGAGTTATATAAGTACCATCAACTGGATCAGGAAAACTTGAATATATATTATGCTTATTGAAACTATATTTTGATTTCATAGGTGGCCACCAAGACACAGAAGGTTCCATAGCCAGAGTGTTATTTAATGCATCTAAAGGTGTAGGGAAATTTGAATGAAACAAACTGCTAGCACCAATTTGCTTCTGTATAGCAGAATTAATATGATCCCAATAAGCTGCAGGAGTTACTGCATGAGGGAGCATCACTGCATCAGAGTGACTCACATTACTACCATTAGTTGAACCACCAGCCTGGGAAGACTGCAAAGAATGCCCAAATTGAAGATTTTGACTACTCCATCTAGGTTGTGATGTAGCTGACTTCTTCTTACTTTGAGAACCTTGTGGAAATAACAAAGGTGAAGACAGACTTGCTTCTCCAGAAGAATGACTCAGAGGATCCCCTGGGGTCTGGAAACTAGAACTATTAACTAAAGCTGCCTTCTTGTTGGTATGAGCAGGCTCTGATAACCAAGGCGAAAGAGATTGGTCACTCCCATCAACACCAGATGAAATGTTTCCATGAGAGGTTTTCTTTTTACTCTCTGAAAAATCGGCAAACCAAGGGATAGATGCCTCTACTCCAGCAGGAATATCAACATTATCAAAATGTGCTTGCAACATGGCATAGTCATCAACATCCATGATATCATTAAGGTAATAATTATCAAAAATCTCATCATCATAGGACAAATCACAATCAAGGTTAACTATGTTCTGTGATCCTTGGGTAGGATGCTTAGAAGGTTCAACCTTGTTTATCGAACCAAGAGATTTATCCACAAAGTCCTGTATAGAAAATGTGGAAAAAGTAAACAACAAAATCGATGGGTCCAAATGTACATTAAATTAATCCTAAGCACGATACAAGTAACTATTGCAAGAACACAACAATCGCACGCATACCTCAGCTTGAATGGTATTAAAACTGCCAGAGCTACTTTTTACAGCCTTCCCTTTGTTCCTTGCATCAACTCTTTCGTCAAGAATCATTATATCAGCTGAATCTTCATCTTTATCAACATCAATTACTTCATGAATAATAACCTGCCAAGATATGCAACAGTAATTTTCTAGTAACCCATGAGAGAAAGGAAGTTTTTTTTAGAGCAACAAGACTGATTGTGAGAAACCAGTTAAAAACACATTAATTAATAAAGAATAGTTTAAAGAATATAAAACTTTGCTAGAACCACGATTGTCCCTATTTCTAACAAGGAAGCTTGTAAAATCTATAAGATGTTTCTTTGTGCTGAGTAGCTAGATTTGGATTTTGTTTATTTACAAAGACCAATTTATATAAACTCAATCTTAACATCCACATAGTAGAATCAACACAAGAATTCTTTTCAACATTCTATCCGATCAAAGGTCATGCTCCACAAACAATATGACCATCTTGTGTGCTCTCTTTCACATTTTCAAATAAGACACCATACTAACAAACAGTAATAAACTAATCTACAAAGTACATAAAAAGGCTATAAAAAACAATCCACACCAGAAGGAAATTAAATCTTCAAAGTGCCCCATTTCGAAAAAGCTACTATTAGTATTTTATCTACCAAAGGGTGTACGATTTTCTTTGTGCAAGAAGAACATTAGAATAAATAAAGATGAGTTCAAGAGAGAACTCATGCACACTAACCACCAACTTCTTTACCAAGCATGCCTAACGTATCAACAAGGTCTGGTTCTTTAAAACCCCTGTCACAGGGGCCAAAGGAAGGACAGATTGTCACAAGCTGTTCAATGGGGGCCCCTCCAAGCATTGGTTCCCTAGCAATAACGGCAGGGAGACACTTAACAGTCACCGTAATTGCCACAACAACTACCCCCTTATATTTATAAGTTCAAAGGACTAAACTCCAACAACAACCAAATTTCAAAGTGGAAAAGAAAAACAAACAAAAAACTAAATGTGTAATAAATTTGGCAACTTTAAAACCCCATGATTGTCAGTACACAGTCCCAACCCACAGTTTTGAGTGAACTCATAAGTTTTCAGCGTAAAAATCCGAAATTTAACTCCTTTAAACCCTAATAACTCAAAACTAATAACGATCCAAACAAAAATAAAATCAATAAAATTCCAAAATGAACCGATAAATCTAAATTCTCTTTAACAAAAGTAACAACAGAAGCGATCACTGTATTTATTCGAATTCAAGATACAAAAAAAAACGACATTTTTATAAAAACGATTTAAACGAACAAGAAAATGAGAAAGGAAAATTCTAAACAAATAAAAAGAAAACAAGAATCGAGTATTTTGGACCTGTTTTTGCTTAGACTTAAAAGAGCGAGGAATCGGGGGAGGAATCTCGATCACTTCGGGGTCCATGAAGGAACTGGAATTCGAAGAACAAAACACTTGCTTCCTGTTTGGACAGTGAGAAAGTGAGAAGAGAAAGTGAGAGAAAAGTCATCAAAAAACCCCCAAAAGACGCTCAAATCTTTTATTATTATTATTATTATTAAACGGAAAAAAAAAACAAACGGATTCTAAAGAAAGGCTTGGAATTTCGCGTATTGTAATTGGCTCGCCTAGAGAACGGCGGCGGCGGCAGCGGCGGTTGCAGCGGCTTCTTAGACCACCCGCTCAAGAGTTAAACGACGCCATTTTGGTGATCTTTTATAGGATAATCTCTTCAAGAGAATGTTCGGGCTACGGCTTGGCGCCTAGTCGGGAGTATATATATTGTAATCCTCTCCTTCCTGAAAATTACCATTTTACCACTATTTAGTTCTAGGTAGGTCCCACATGTTCTTGCTTGTCAGGAAGTCCTCACTGCTGATGTGGAAGTTTGAGTGTAATTACGTGTAGAGGATCACGGCCTCGACTTTCCGGATAAGCCATTGGGAGTTGACAAATATACAAGAAAGACTGTTGACCCTTTCGTGGATCATGGACCGTCTAATCAAGACTGCGGGGACCTACCAACGGCTGAGATCCAGGAAAGCGCACCGGATAACTTTTGTGCAGGGATTTACTGTATTTTACTTTCATAGGAATGTGGAAAACTGATGACGTCCACGTGTGCAACCAAGTTTTTCTGGTCAGTGGGGACCAAGGCAGGAGAATCGGATAAAACTATCTGCTGACGTGGATAATTAACCATAATTGGTTTTTGCTATAAAAAGAAAGTGCAAATCTTAATTAATTGCATCCTGCCATTTTAGCCCTTTTATTTCCTTAATTGAAACTTAATACTTATCTACAAAAATCTAAAAAATGTTTCTCAAAACACTTGGAAAAGAAAATTCGATCCCTTGGTCTTTACAGTTTGATTGTTAATATTGTTAATAAACAGTTAAAAAAATTCATTAATTTTTAATACCATTGATAAACACTTAAAAAAAATTAAACCTAATACTACATATATATATATATTTATGTAATATCTTTTAACGGTTAACTAACGATATTAATAATCAAAGGATTAAAATTATTATTTCGAAACAAAGAGTATATGTAATATCTTTTAACAATTAATTAACGGTATTAACAATAAAAGGATTAAAAACCTCATTTTGAAGTGAGAAAGATTAAAATGTATTTTTGAAATGTTTGAAATGTTTTGAGCCAACATTTTGGATTTTACCCTACCAAAATCTTTATAAGAATTTCGTTATTAACAACTTCAGTTCAACAAGAATAGCAAGTTAACCTCATCAGACCAGGAAAGATTTTTAATTATTAATTAATACAAAATCATGAAGATTATCTTAATGGGTAAGCCTGTGGCAGTTTTTGGGCCTATTAACCGTCTAGATATTTATTTTGGGCCCAATTCTGCAAGAATAAGAATAAAGCCACAACTTGATTTTGGGCCCAAAAAAATGGATCAACAATGACTGGTCCAATGGATAACTGGGTATGTATGAAGGACGGAAGGAGACGTAGAATACTTAAAAAAGTTTCTCAAATTTTTTTTAAAAAAATTTCAATAAATTTTTATTTTTTATTAAAATTAATTATATTTTTATATTTTTATTTTAAATCAAATATATTTTTATAATTAATAATTAATTAACTGTTATCAGTTAAAACATCACTTAACATTTTATGTCATATATGATTCTGTTGTGGCATGTTGATGTAACATATTAAACAATATTGATGTAGAATGATGTCATGATCACGTAATATTTTTCACTTTTTACATCATCAACACGTAAGTATAAAATGACAAATAACTTTAATTAATGGGATTTAGTTAATCACTAGCTATGCATGAAAGTTTATTGGATTCAAAATAAAAATATAAAAGTTTGATTAAACACAATAGAAGAATAATGGTTTATTTAAAATTTTTTAAAATAATTGATATGCTTTTTAAAGAATTATGCATTTTTTTATTAACTAAAATTTACTTCAAGGAAGATTGAACTCAAAAAAAAAAAAGAAAAAAGAAAAAAAAAAGAAAGAAACTAGTGAAATCATGGTTATGAAAATCATGAAATTATGTTTTTATGTTGGATAACATTTTTTTTTTATAAGTCACACTAGCATTAAAAAGTTCTTGTGCAATAATCCATGTCATTTAAAATAATAAAAAAAATTATATAATATAAAACTGTATACTTTACTTGAAAATCTAAATTGTATATATTGAAAAATTTAAATTATGTAGGTTATATTAAATATATATGTATAGTTAATCTCTATTCATAGTTTAATTCTAAGTAGCTAACAATATTATAATATAATTTTTAATTAGATATTATAATTTAACTAGATAATAACTTTAATTAAATAATTTATATAATTATCTTAATAATATTAAATATTAAATTTTATTGAAAGTGGAATAAAATAGCATTACTTGAAATAGAAAGAGAGAAAAGGAAATAAAATAACCAATACAAAAGTTGCTTTAAGTTGATATCAACCTGAGCTGGGTTGAGTGTTTTAGTGGTTATTCTTCCTTTACCTTTCAAAGGTGAAGGAAAGGAATCCTCATAACCCTTTCATTGTTGGGTAGTTTTCCCTTAGCATGGCCACCACACAGCACTGCCTATTTTTCTTGATGGGTTACTTTATCCACCATCAATGGCGGAGTCAAGGGTGGTGGCCGCGGCGCGACCACTTTTCAAGTTTTTAATTTTAATCTTTTATTATTATAAATATAAATTTTGAAATATGTAAATCTATAATTTTATATAATTAATGCAAAATCTTGGATTAACCACAGTCTATCATGAAATCCTATTTGGCTTTCATAATTTAAATTATGATTCATTTTGTTTTCATGTTAATTTTTTATTTATGTACAATTCTAAATTTTTTTTATTTCAAAATATAAATCGTTATTTGTACATACATACATGTACACGGAACAGACTCTTATTTCGGATCAGAAGCTTAAATAATTTGTAAACCAATACTTTTATTCATCAAATTGTGAAAATGGGTTTGATTTTTTTTATGCAATCTTACAAAATTTGAAATGGACATGTAAAGGGAGGAAAAAAGGATGGAAAATCGGAAAGGTAGTAGTGAGGAGGACAGCCATGATTTTCTCTTTGCATCTTGTGGATAAAAAGAATGAAAACAGGTATGTAAGGCTATACTTTCTTTGACAAAAAGAGATTTGAAAGTAACGTTGGCTAATTCGAGAAGCAATTGCTCTTGGAAAAAAACCCACCACACCAAGAAAGCTTTTTTTGTTTGCAAATATAAGCAATTCAACCTCAAGAAGAAATATAAAAGAACAATTGAGACTCCCCAATCTTGCTATTCCCTTCATAATTGAATTTATTCCCATTTTCTTCCTTTTAATTTACTACCAATATCAATGAGTGTGACATCTTTTAAGCTTACCCTTTTATTAGGGTAAAGTATTGTTTCATTAAGGAAAAAACATGAGTTATTATTAGGTCAAAATTAACCATAAAAATGTCAATTAAATGAAACAAAATACACGAATATAGAGTAATAAACTAGACCCCCTTTTTTTTTTGCCCTTTATTTCTTTCCATCTGTCCAACTTTCTTTTCACCTTTCTCATTGATTTCAAGCCTTTCAAGGATAAGGAATTTATATATATATATATATATATATATATAAGTATATATGAGCCCAAAGAGAATTAATTCTCCATCAGTCTTTCCAAAGGAGATGCCTAACATTTTGGACGGTCAATATTTAAGGGTATTTATGACTAATATATACGTGTTAGAATACTACTGAGCTATGTTCAGAAGCAAATAGAAAATAATAAAAACAAAAAAACAAAAAGAATGCATGATATTTATGGGATTTTTGAGATAATATTTTTGGGATAATTAATTTTTGAGATAATATCATATACAATCCTTATAAAGTTGTAAGCTCTATTTATCTATTTATTTATTTATTTATTTATATGTTTATATTATCTTTGTTACTATTATTACTATTTTATTTACCTTGACATTGCAAAATATTATAGCATTACAAAAGTGAAAAGAAAAAGACAAAGAAATTAGAAGCTTATCTCTTCAATGCCATACTGCTAGAGACAATGTAGAGAATCAAGAAAGAGTTGGAATAAAGAGAGAGACATCTATATATCTCTCACCATCATGGAAAGAGATAAAGAAAGAATAGGAAAAAAAAAAGATGATTATCTTATATAATTAAGATAAATACAAAGAGAAAAAATATAATAAAATTACGGTAAAAAATTATTATAATTTCATACTTGACAAAGATATAACAAGAGAATATATGATATTAAATTCATAAAATTTAAACGAATTTTTATAAATATAATATATTAAGAATATAATCACGTGAAGGATGTAATTGCCACTCAAAATCTTGTCTATAAGATTGATTACCATATAATCCTGATACCATGTTTATAAACTAAGGGCAAGATAAGGTGCTAGGGAATGTCAATGCCATTGGACAAAACTAAAGCATTTTTTACCATATCATGGCATGGTTTACCATGTGTTTGAAGCATCAATCTTGGCAAGAAAATTCTCCTAGGAGAATCCTGAAACAGATCTTTCTACTTGTATAGTCAAACAGCAGTGATTAGAGCTCGTGTGGATCAGCTGCAACAACTTGTGGGAAGACGTAGAAAGATATCTATGCATAATGTAAATCATCTTCTTCTCTTTCGGAGAACAGAAATGAGGTTGACATGAGAGGAGGATATCAAGCCAAGCCCCCCCTCCATTATCAAGATTCCTTCGGACTCTTCCTCGAGAGGCGTGTGCTCCTCTCATGCCCGTGTAGACCCCATTCTTGAACACCGCCTGACCTTTCCTAGCGGGGTCCACATGGAGGAAACCACAGCCTCCCCTTTTGCACCAGTTGCACTTCTTCTCCACCTATAAATACATGACCATTGTGCAAAGCTTGGGAGATATAGCAATCCGTTCTACAAAGCTTAGAACTTCAAATACCTTCAGCTTTTCGCGTTCGAAAACTCTCTAAGATCACCATGTCTGACAAGTGCGGAAACTGCGACTGCGCTGACAAGAGCCAGTGCGTGTAAGTAATCCATGATCGATGACAACCTTTGAGCATTTCTAGGGTTGTGTCTGGTTTGAGATTATGTTGTTTATGTTGTTAACTTGTTATGTTCATGATCTTATCATGATTTTTAGCTTCATGTTACATGTTACATGTTACTCTTAGGATGAACAAAACCTTTTCGATCCAAAACATCTATTATCTTTCAATTCCTCCCATGGTTTTGTCAAGGATAACCTGTGGAAACTTGTACTAGTTTATCTTTAAGCTCTTTGTAAGTACGTGCATGAGTTTTCAGTCAATATCATTAAAACTAAGGCTTTTTCTGGTTTTTGCTTACAGGAAGAAGGGAAACACCTTGGTCATTGAGACTGAGAAGAGGTACATATACTTTTGCTCTTCAAGGAGTCTGATACCTCCAAAGAAACAAACAAATAATACAAATAAATTCCTTTTATATATATATATATATATATATATATATATGCTGCTAAGATCTGAAACATATCCATGAGATTTTCAAACAAGCAATCAAAAACTTCTCCGATGCACGATTTTCGACAATCAGTTGGTTCCTCTCTTATTAGTTCATCATATACCCTAATACACTATTTTGTTATTCTTGTGCAGCTACATCAACACTGTCGTGGTGGAAACTCCAGCAGAGAACGATGGCAAGTGCAAGTGCGGAACCAACTGCACCTGCACAAACTGCACTTGTGGTCATTAAGCAAATCATGTGTTCCAGTTCCTGGGAACATTCGGACCTAAACAATAATGAAAAGTTGGGTTGAATAATCTGTCTTTTATGTTATAGTTCGTGGGTGTTTGTTTTCCTGTCTGTCAGTCATGTTTGTGTCTCCTTATATACTGTGATGAAATGGCCATGTCTATGGCCTTGTCTGTTTAAATGAATTACTATTAGTATAAACTCTTTCTGCCTTTATTATAGCATAAGCTTTCTCTTCATAGCTATAATGATCAGACTCCAAAAGATATGCTCCTCTCTAAGGTAACAGATAAATCAGGGTATCAAGAGTTATATCAGGAATGATGCATCCTACCAAGTTTCAACTTTCAACTACAGTAACAAATGGTGAAGCAATAAAATTGGCATTCAATAATGGTTTTATTAACGTTGAAATACAAGTTATCATGTTCTTACTCTTAAACAAGTATGCCACATATAAACAACCAACCGAAAACATAGTTTCATCAATATGTTTAAGGCAAGATAATTGCAGCAGTTGCAGCACATCCAGCTTATTCATAAGCTAAAACTGTTCATATCAACAGCTTCAAGTTACAGAGCGAGAAGAAGAATAAACAAGAGTAGACTGCTCCACTTTTATTATCCATAACTTCTATATAACCTCAAAGAATCAGGACAGAAAAAGGTTAAATGCTACTGATTATTTTAGCATCGTATTCCATCCAAATTCTATTTCATAATTCCCTCCCTATAGGTCTAAATTACACTACTTGTATGCATACGAGCAAAAGGTGCAGACTCATTTTAATCTGTGATTTGGACTATAATTGATTTTCTTGATGGGTGATAGAACCGGTGAACCAAGGGTTAAAGGAATCACACGATCTTGCAATGAAGAACCTCTAAATGAGAAAAAAGATAGCAGGAAGTCTGAGGTATAAATGGAAATTCAACAAATCTGTTGGTAAATTTTCTTTCCCTGGAAATTTCTGTTGTTATTTGCATGTTTCTGATCAACCAAAATCAAAATATTCTACAAGGAGACATATCCAGAAGTAACATATTATGCTATAATTAGAGATTCCAAACATAATGATAGGAAAGGGGAAAAAAAGATGTGACAAGAACCAATTCTTCATGTTGGCCATTAAAATACTCATCTTCTCATTAGTTTCTTTCAAACTACGGTCAAAATTTTGACCAATATAAATTACACACTAGCACAAGTAATTGAGAGAGAGAGAGAGTAGACAAGGATAGTCAGCTAATAAAATAATAAAAAGGGAAAAATGTTTACTCAATCAAGAAGCAAGACATAAATGGACTCATCTATCTGTCCATATCCTGACTCATGAAAGTATTTTGGCGCTTCCACTTCACACCACATAGGTACAACCTCATAAAACGAGAAAATACAATAAAAATTAACTTGGCTGCATCCAATTGCCTTGAAAGCTATCTTTCCTTTATTCCTAGATGTTCAAATCATATCTATGTGTAATCCTCAAAGTAAATAGTTTGTAACTCAAAATGTTTTCATTCTATAAACTTTGTATGCCAATCTCAAACATTAAAGCCCTCTGAACGAAGGCACTTACGATGAGCCTCTATCCATTTTGCACAAGCCTCTTCACCATGCTCCACTATGCATTCATCTCTCAGCTTCTTAGTTTCGGGGCAAGCGCAGCAAATTTTCTTCTTTGGCTTTGATTCTGGGCCAGATGTTACTGCTGACACTTGATTTTGCTGCGAACCAGGCAAAGCTAAGGCAGAGGTATTTTGCATAGGCAACCCACCCATTCTCCCTGGTAATAAGTCAATGTAAGATACTGTGAGAGAGAGAGAGAGAGAGAGAGAGAGAGAAAGAGAGAGAGGAGAGATACCAGAAACACAAACCAGATCAGCAATATCAAATTCAAAACTTTTACGGTTCAAGAGTATTGAAGATTGTTTCATGGCTTACAAGAACAGCAGTGGTCTAGTTTCAAGACAAGGGAAATCAGCAAAGGACATTATAACATCATATTACAGCAACAACTGGCAGCCAATATTAATTACTTTTTGGCCATTCATGTACCACATTCACATCTTTATGCCATATAAATCCAATCCAATTAATCAGAAATGGAAAAGCAGGTGAAGAATAACCACAGTAATAGTCTATCCAGTATGATTTAAACAGCATCATATAGAAAACAATTGGTTAATGTACTGAAAAAGTGAAAACAGATCACATGAAGAGAATATTGGCATATCACCCAAACTATTCCAGGAAGTAATTAGTTGTAAAAGTTTCAAACTGAAGTACCAATTCTACCAACATCTAGGCTTATTTAACAAATTTATGTCTCTTGAATGTTTTCCATACCATCAAAAATTTAGAAATAATAAGCTCAACTACAAGGATAGCAAAAGAAATTATTAAAGCAAAGAAGAAAGACAGAACAATTTAGTCAATGTCACTAGAATGCAATGCATTCAATTTATCTCTCCCAGAATTAAACTTCTAGTAACATATAATAATATTACACAGGCTTACACAGCAAGTTTTGATTCATTAGATGGTGAAAACAAAATAAGAGGACCTGAAATTCTCTGAGTCATTGGAGCTGAAGAACACTAGGTCGGATAAAAGTCAATCAAACAATTCAACTGAACACTAATACTAAGAACATAAATGTTCAGCAAGGAATAGTACCAAAGAATTCAATCTGATAATTAGAATTTCCTAGTCTAAACTTATATTGTTGACTTCTAAACCTAAACTACACAAAAGTCTTCTCCCTACCTTGTTCCTGGAGCAATTTAGAAGCTAATCACTACTAAGATGCAAGTTTTCCTTTTTTATCTAAGCATTTCAAACAGTCCTATCAAGTAAAAGCTAGCCAACAGCAACAGCATTGGTATATCAGTTCATCTTAACTTGAAGCTAAATCTTTTTTGCACGATCCAAACTCCAAACAAAGGCCAAATATCTTGGCATCCAGTCTTTCCAATTTATTCTATAAAAGAACCAACCACTGCACAACAAATGTGATTCTGACCATTTAAATTTTTTAACTTCTAGCTCTCCACCTTCAAAATCGTTAAAAGAAAAAAAAAACCCAGAAAAGAAATTAGAATTCTAAGACTAGTCCCACAACCTTTCCCTACAATTCAGCCCAAAAAAATGCCAACTTTCATCAGAAAAAAAAAAGCGGCCACAATTCATCAGAACAACAAAAACCCAGATAGAAACTAACATGAATGAATCAAATTAACACTTTGCAATAATAAAAATTGAATCTTTATTGCCACAAACTTTAATTTTTTTTCCTTCCTTTTGTTTCCTATATTATAAGCTTTTGCTTCTATGGAATCAAGAAATAGAAACAATAGAAAGAAAGGAATAATAAATAAATAAACAAATAATGGAAAGAAGAACTTACTGTTGAGTTTTGAGCAAACGGGGGATTCAGAGCCTTCAACTGGCGGTGGGGGTTTTAGAGGTTTTAAGGAAGGCAGCAAAGCCAATAAAGTTAAAATGGTATAGAGCTGGCCTAGTTGAAGTCGGGTCGGGTCAAACCTTTAGTCTATCCTTTTGATTTTTCTTTCCTAAGAAAAATAAATTTGAATATGTTGGAATATTGACTATTTTTATAGCAATGATTTTTAATGTTCAAAATTCGAAAAATAATGATGAAAAATTATTGTAAAATACAGAAAAAAAATTAAATAAGGCCTAATTTTTTAATATTAAAATAATCAACATTTAATTTGGATGAGATTACAGAAGATATCATAAATTAATAAATAAATATTTTTTTCCAATTAAATTTGTAAGCAAATCAAAATAGATAATTAGAATATTTGAACTTGTTGTAAGCTATGACATAATCTCCTTGATCATAGGTCACACCAAAAGTGAGATCAAGGAAAACAAAAAAAAAATTCTAATTTAACCAATTAAGTAGATGGAACTATTTTTTGGAACAATTAAATCCCGATTTCTATTTTATTTTAAGAATCAATCAGTGTCATGACAATCTTATTGGTTTTTTGAAGAAAAAATTACATGGAAAATTTATTACATGTGAGCCATGGCCCCCAGCATCAGAAGCAAACATGTAGGCCTCATATCACTTTTCTTTGAACTTAAGCATGTTCTTGATCCTAAGCAAGATCCAAGCAGGTTCCAAATCCAGGATCCCTCCACTCCATCAGTTCTCCCATGGCAGCTTTCTTAGGATTCAGGATTCACTTTTCAGTTTGTTGTGAAGTTCAGACATCCAACCTGGTTGAACCCAGACAGTTTTTGTCATCAATTCCTGTCAATCCTAGTATCTTCCTCTTCAACACAACTAATCATACTTCTCCCTCCATGAATATACAAGTAGGAACACCCAGGACAGTGCCAAGGCCATATCCCCAAGAGCTTGTCTAGGCCATTCATGAGCAAGATCCTCGAGCTTTCCTTCAAAAGAAATTCTCCAAATAGCCATTGAAATATGAAGAAGTACACACCCTTTAGCAAAGAAGCTTTGGAACTCTCTGTCTTTAACGAATGCCACCATGAACAATACAAATCCGATAGTGAACAGAAGCAATCCAGAAAATGATTCAGATGTTTGGATCAAGAGTTGATCATGGGGTGTTGAACCTTGTAGCTTGCTTGCAATCTCATGACCATGACCGAACACTGAGACTTCCTTGGTGTAAAACATCATTAAAGCTCCAGAAGTAAGAGCAACTATAGAATGGAGCATACAGATAATGAAAAACCCTGGTAAGCTCATTGATCCAAAGAAACTAATGGGAAATTTTTATCTTCCTTTTAACCAAATCTGAGCTTCAAAACAATAGCAGAGCTAAACAGTAATATGACTCTAAAGTCTAGACCATACATTAAAGGCAAGTGATTAGAACCAGTAATATATGATCTCAACGGAAAAATTACCAAGAAAGGAAAACTTACTTGAACCCTGACCCCATTGCTGAGGAGTTGGATGGCAGAAACTGAAAGGAGAATGTAAAGGAGGAGTTTCTAATGGAAAGAAGCAGGAAGAGTTTATAACTTGGGATTAGCCGTAACGGGATACCAAGCCAGCTGTAAAAATGAATACTATAATTATGATTATTTTATAGGAGATATAGTATGGATTTAGAGAAACAGCTTTGAGATTGCTTCCTTCCATGTACCAACCAATCCACCATGCACAAAACGCCATGCTTTTCTTGGTTAAGGGTTACTTCCTCATTCTGCAAAGCAACTCAAAAACATTTGTGGGTCATGGAGTCATGGGTGAATATTAATTTTTTTTCCTTATTTCTCTTTGAGACAATAATTTAGAGATATCTTTGTTATATGTGGAATGGGATCATGTAGGGCCAAAACTTTAGAATATTTTTTTTTTTTGGTATTTTTGACCAATCCTAATAAATTTTCCTACCCCAAAAATGGCACTTTAATGTCTTGAATTGAGGAGATGGGCTTGGTTGATTGGTCCTCGTTTAGAAAGTAATGGGTCACCATATTTGGGACTTTGGCTTATCTGCTCTGCTTGTCAAACCCTGTCAATTTTCATTTCATAAAATAAACACTTCATGATTTCATAAGGTAACATAATCAAAGTTTCTCTCATAATTCTGTTTTGTTTTCCTAATTTCTATAAACGAATCCAAAAAGGTAAGATAACCTTGGGCCCCTCAAAGAGCCATATATCTAATCAGTGAAAAGCTTTAGGTTAATTGGCCAAAATGAACTAGAATGGTGGACTTAGAATTTAGTGGCAGTGCCAATAACAACATTTCTGGAGTAAAAGTGTCAAAATACTAGAAGATGTTGCTGTAAAACTTTGGCATTGAGTTTCCATGTGAATTCTAACGAGACAAATACAACATAGACATCTCAACAACCACATAATTCACAGCATAGAAATCCAAAGTTGCCTTTAGTTTCTTTTTTTTCTTTTCAAATTGCTTTTTGATTGTTTGAAGATTGCTTTGCTTACTTTACCACAATCCAAGCATTGTTGCTTTGTTCTGTAGGCCAACCAAATGACAACTATGCGGCTCTATCAAATAAATACAGGTTTTTCATGAGGAAGCCATCATTGCTTGCTCTCACCTTACAGCTGTAGAGTAAAGGATTCTTTCAACATGAATATGTATCACATGGACAATCTTGCAATATAAACTGCATTTCATTTCATCAAGCATGTCTCTTCACATAAAACTTTTTCTGTCTAGATTCTGATAAAACCCTATCAGAACAAAGATTTCTGCTTTGGGCTAAACCATTGTAACTTTATCAGGATAATGTAAAAGAGAGAAAAGCAAGAAATTAAATCTTGTTCCTGGCTTTCACATTGATCTCTTCAATGGACTATAGATAGATTAGCATGAGCAGGAGATTGTCAAAGTCTGCCTTAAGGAGACTTTGATAATCGAAAGTTTTTACTCCAAAGAAGCAACAGACAAGATTCAAAGCAAGATACAATGAAAATGGCAGCAGCTTGTATGAAGCTCATTCAGGATGTACAATAATAAAAGAATAGATATCAAAATTTCAGACAAAAATGCATGGCATTTTACTCCTTATGCAATCCTAAAATTCTCTAATTAATCCTCCTACTCCTTGGTGACAATTAGAAGCAATCTGATTTTGTTAAAAAAAAAGAAGAAAAGAAAAAGAAAAAAGAGCTACAACTTCCTTTTTTCTTTTCTTTTGGCTCAGACAGTAGCTAAAAGGAATTGCTGTCTCTATTACCAGCAGCAACCTTACGGTGACGCCTTGAACCAGATCTTTTATCCCTCCCATGTCTAGGAATCCTCTTCCCCGGAGTTCTTCCACGTGTATTGATATTGGGCAAAGCTGGTGGGAGTTGAGTCACAGCAGCAACTGGTGGAGGCATTTGCTCCAATAAATCTCTGTGGTATGCCTGTAAACAAAAAATCACTTAAAAATGATTACATGCACCAAGCAAACCTACACATGCCCCCCCATGCATATGCATATAGAGAACGCTGGTTGTATGCAACAGAAGCCTAGTGGAATCCATCTAACCGAAAAAAGAGTACAAAGCCTCAAATCTTTAATTATGCATATATCAGACACTAATTTGCATAAATTTAGACATCCCAAGATATTTGAGAACACGTGTTCTTCTTAACTCCTAGTGTATTTGAGGATTTGGAAAACATGATCCTAACCCCTTACCCCTTTTTTTTCTTCTTTTTCTCTTTCCCCTGCTTCTTGCAGACTCCCAGTAAAAATGAAAAAGAATATATTTAGGTTTTATGCTCTAAATTCATAATCCCGTCAAGTAATATGCCAATACAGAATATGTACCTGTATAACAAAATTGCGTCTTTCACAATCCAAGAACATATTGATACTCCAATCAACTTTTGCCATTATTTTATCCCTTACCATGGCAAAGCTTAACTGGTCCCTGGATGTAAAACGATCAACTTCATTGAACCACAGGCAGGTAAACAGATTTGTGATGGGAATATGTTCCTTTATGAGTACACAACCTTCAGGAACATCTGCAGAAAACCAGTCAGGCACCACAAAGTTAAATGCTTTTTGATAGAGAATTGGTTGAAACATTGAATAAGGAAAAGGCAAGTAATTTTGTATTTGTATACATACCACTGGTTAGAGGAAGCTTGGCCTCTGAATATGGTGTTAAACCCTCTTTTTTATAAAAATCCACCTGTTCATCAATCGAGGAATTATCATATTTTCCTGCAGCTTTATTTGCTTCAGCCTCTACAAAGACATCAAATCGTCTGTAGTGTCTCGAGATTGCAAAATTAGCATTTTGACGCCACAAGAATCTGAGAGGAAGAACAATTAAATAAGACAATGTTCAAATCAAATTCAATTATATCCTCAAATCTAAAGTCAAAATGGTAAAGCATGCTTCGTACAAATGATTGATGCTTAATGGGAGGCTCTCTTCACTAAGTTATAAAAGCTTTATATAGAACGAGTTTCCAAAATCAAGTAATTAGTTTTCATTAAGCCCTAACTCTCAGGTTGTACTGCCTTTTCACTTTGTCATACCCCAAATCAACAAATATATATCTCAAAAAATCATAAATGTCAAACATTTACAAGAATTTAAGATAAATCTGGAAACCAGGAAAGCATACACAAACATGTCACATAACTTTTGGGTTGATGAATAATTTACAAAATCAAATACCAGATGAAGCCAACCGTCTGTTGTCATTGCGTCACCAAAATATAATATTATAATTTGAGGCATTGCCAGAATCTCTCATTCCACCAATATCAAAAATTAAACCAAGTAAAGCTTATATTTAGGTAGCTATGTAAACCAACAATTAAGGTTAATATTCTAGAATGACAAAGAGATCTTGATGTTTCATTATAACTTAGAGATGCAGTCCATCTGACAGAATAGAAATCACATTATCTAGAAATTTAAGAATCCTTCTTAATCAACTTCATATAAATAAAATCATAAAATGGAATTTACCTCTCAAGAAGTTGATATGGATCCACAACAAGCTGGAGCTTTCCATCAATCCATATGGAATAGCGAACATTTGGGAAGATTCTATGCAATAAAAGCTTCGGAACCTGCCAGATATACATGACGGGTAAAAAAAATTCAACAGCCCTGAAGTGCAGATTAACTATAAAATTTCTGATAAGGATTTATGCACAGGATATCCCTGAACTTTCACCAATAACAACCTACTCCTTAAACTCTTGTTTTGTGCAATTAAGTGTATAAATTTAGGTCCATTTTGAAGAAAAACAAAGCCAAGGATGATAATCAACAACCTAATCCCCACTCTTGACACTGATCCAACTACCGTAGGACAAGTTCACCATTGTTGCTAAAAGTCTAGGAGACTGCCTATCAAAGTAGCCATACTTGTACAAGCTATAAATACCATGACACATCATTTATCTTCCACTTCAAGACCTAACCAACCAAAGACGTGTTTCTTCCTGTTTCTCTATTACAACCAAACAAATTTTTTAAATCACGGTCAACACCACTTACTAACAGCAAACTGTAAACTGTAATACCCTAAGTCACCACTAATATTAAGTTTCTAGCCCTAGAGCTTAAAAACGGTGAACCAAATTACAAAATCTGCCCTCACATCCAGGTAAAAGACTACACAGAACTATATACAAAAAGCACAAGAACATAAAAACATAACATCGAGATTTCTGCATTCTGCACATGTACTTAAATGATTTGATGAAACCAGCAACAGTAATTCCTACTTTCTTGTATATATACTCAGAATTCAATATCCTTGATATCAAAATAACAAATAACAAAACTCAGATTCAAGGATCTCAAAAATGCTCAAAGGTGAACATATCCAAAAAAGTCCAAATAAGAATAAAACAAGTGCAAATCAACCAAAGAGAAGTAGGCTGACCTTCCCATTTCGTCTTGCATCACTGTAAGGAACATTGTGAATGACAACAATTCTCCACAAACCCACCCTTTTACTGCTGTCCAAAATGCTTTTGTTTTTCATATATGCTTCTGTTTCTTCATCTATAAACATGTAGAAAGGGATATTTTTCTTTGCTTCCTCACTAATATTCCTGGGCTGTTGCATTATGTCATAGTTCCCTGGAGAAAAATAGATAAAGCAATGATGAGGATCAGGCATAAATAAAAACAAGAAGCTCTTATGGGAGCTTGAATGCCTAGCAGTACCAAATATGGCCGATGCAACAATGATGTCATGGAACTGCTGCAACTCTGCAAGGTCAGCTTCATCAAAGTCAAATCCAGTCTGGTGACCAGGTTTACGTCCCTTGACAAATCTGACAAAAAAGTATACAAATTATAATATTAAAGCTCAACTAGAGGAACAAGACTTATTTATGAAGACAAATAATTCACTAAATCATTTACATGCACCACATAAATGATAAGAAACATAAATTTCTACCTGAAATGTCTTCCATGAATATGCTATACTGAAAAAGTAACAAGAAGAGTCAAACCTACCCACAGTGCACTGTCATTGACTCTTTTATATCAAAAGAATCATTTCTTTGCTTTAGAGATGGATATCCACCAAAGTCAGAGCCCCCATGAGGTTCACTTTTGATTGGATTTTCATCATGAACATATGTCAAATTATGAAGCACTGGAGATGCTGATGGGGAGATTGGCATGCTAGCTATGGCCTGATCCACCGGGAGGTAACATACTGGGCATGCTGAAAAAGGGGTGAGCAAGAATAAAATCAGTACCAAGATAATGGCACATATACTAGATATTCACATAAGAGAAAGAGTTATTTCATTCTTATGACTATGAGTAGATAAATTTATTTTGGTGCAAGAGTGATTATAATTTTAAAAAAAGAAACATAATGAATCAACCAATGGCTTTCTGGTGATATATTACATTATTTACATACAAATATGTTTGCTTCAATCTAAAACTACTGCTTTAAATGCATTCATGTGAAAAACATTAATACAATTACATTACAGGCCGCATCCCAATATTTAATGCAACTGTGATAATGAGAACAACAAGAATGAACTCAAACTTACGGCGAGGTCCAATTCGTCTAAGATTAGGTGGAGGGGGAGGAGGAAATGTGAAATTCGCGCACGGATGGTTAAATGGCAAAACAGTAGCACCTTCAGAAGCGGGAACTAAAAATCTATTTCCATCACCTCCTTTCAGACCGTTTACCACAGAATAATGTTCATCTTTCTGCTTATCCTTCCTTCCAAGGATGCTTGAAGCTTCAGGATTGCTAGGGGCACCATTGACATAAGGAACCATACCCAATGTTCCAGTCCGTTGATCAACATTTGGACTAGTGCTTTCTGGTTCATTAATCATACAGAAGGCAAACCAGAAAAGAATTGAAAAGGTTATTGCCTACAATCAAATTATCATGCTGAGAACGAAAAGTCACAGTCATTACAGTAAGCAGTAAGTGAGCCAGCAAAGTAAGTGAGCCAGCAAAAGACTAAGTACACAAGAAATATGTCAACTGATGCCTATTCTACCTAGAAGTAAAACTTAATGCTCTTACAATTAGGATCCGAGAATCAAGTTAGAACTTAGAACCCAAAGTAACAGAAGAAAGAACAAACCTTTGTTGACTACAAAAGAACCCAAGACAAAGACCAAAAGGGCAAAGGCAACCAGAAGCAGCATTGACACCTTCCGACGACCTAGATATCGGCACCAAATGTAGGGCAGAGACCTCTCCTTTTCCCTAGAACCTGAAAGCATCTTGGTTGAATTCTTTCGTAGACTAACCAAAGATTTAGGTTGCAATAATCCTCCACCACCAACAACAACACTGTTGATGTTCTGCAATGACCCATAACTCCCTGTACGTAGACCCAATGACCCTCCAGTCATTGTATCTCAAATCCAACCCCAATTTCCTCATTCATTTCCTTTCACCCTCTCATTCACTCACAATCACCCCACAAAAATTCCGTCTCCAAAAACTTTACAAGAAAGAATATATTTTTTTCCTTTGGCAATTTGGAAGCAAAACCAATGACTCAATTCTCAATTTTAGACAAAGAATACTGTGAATATTGATCTATAAACCAATCCTCTAATCGTTGCATATCATCGGCTATACCAATAACACAGTTCTCCAAGGCACTTCACTTTTCAATGTTCCCAAAAACCAATGTGATTGACTTCTGCTAACATACACAGACCAAAAAAACATAAAATCAGAATACTCTTTCTCCAAAACACTTAAGACAAATATAAGTTTTTTGCCTGTATATATGCACTTTGGAAATTTAGATTTCAGAAATAAAAACCATGACCCAATTCTCCATTTTTTACAGTGCAAAAGATTAAGATTACCATAGAGCATCTAAAATCAAACCTCTAACCATGGAAAATACACAAACTTAATGCCAAGTAGTAATAAAATTGTTCCTTTAACCAATGTGATTGATTCTGCTAAAAAAGAAAAAATTTAAACAAAATTATAAAATGCGGCAAGAATTAAAAATTTTTCTACATCAAGCCTTAAAATAATAAAAACCCGTGATTAAATATCACTTAACTGGATCTCATAAACCAATGTGATTGAATTCTACTAACCCACCAAAAGAAATAAGAAAGAAAAGATCAAACATAGAAAAATATACATATGGCATTGAAAATTACAACCCAGTTTTGAATTTCATTACACTTGATCTCAAGAACCTATGTGATTCAATTTATTAACGAATACCCACCTGCAATTAGAATTGTTTTAAACTAAAAACTGGGTTTTTATCCATGAAATGAGAGGAAAATCAAAAAGACCCAAAACCAAAAAACAAAAAAGAAAAATGACATTTTAAATGAAATAATTCAATTTCCAGGAGTTCAAATCCAAACCCAAATCAGACCCAAACCAAACAAAAATGAAAAAGGAAAAGAATAATTGCTAAAAAAAAGAGAGGGGAAATTACGTACCTTCAAGAAAATGTAGGTCCCTCTTTTGATTTTCAACTTTCCTTTTTCATTTTTGCTTCTTTAATTTTCTATAGAATGTTGAGTTTTTCTCTGATGATGACTGTTTTAATAAGGGCGAAAACGATAATTACTGATTGAATTTTCTTTTCTTAATTTGTAAAAAATAAATTAGATCTCGAGATAAATGTGACATATGTATTTAATTTTTTGGACAATTTATTAATTCCATGTTATGTGGATAGAAACAAATCCAATGCACATGACCTATATTATTTTGATAAAGATGCTAGTTGTCCCATAGATATTGGGTACACTGTAGTTCTGAAAAACTTGATAATTTAATAAATAAAATTATGAATTTTTTAATTAACTTTTAAATTTAAATATTCTATTATAAAAAATTGAGTTTTTCAAAAATTCAAAAAAAAGAAATAAAGATTTTTTGTCTGACAATTATTGCTTGTTTATTCAAGAACAAATGTCATATATTTATATATTAATAAGAGATGAGATAAGTTTTTATTAATTTAAGTTTCTATAAAAGATATCAAAATGAAGATAAACTCGAATCAATGCAAGGATATCTCTTTTTATAAAAATAAAAACTTATACAACGCGAGTGAAATAGAATATCAAAGATCTCATATGAATAAAAAATTAGATAAATTTTAAATTTATAAATATATTTTTTTATTTATCAAATATATATTTTAAATTAAAATTGTGGGCTCGTGACGCAAGGATGATGAATGCATTCGTAAGTCCACACTCGATCCATTAATGTTTTTGAAAATTATAAGAAAAAGTGGATTGGATTTAAAGTTTAGAGTAAAAACCAAATCTTTAAGCCATGTGAAAAACAATACTTTGAAAGTGATGATGTTCAGTATGGTAGTGTAATGCTTATGGCAATTTAATAAAATGGTGAAAATGATGGATTGGGGAGAAAGTTGTGACAATGTAATCATATAGCAACTAAGAAGACAACTTTGTTCATTGGTAATTTAAGACAATGGTGGGCAATAGGATAAGAATGGACTATTGTAGTGGTACTTGAAAATGTCCACTAAATTATATCTTTACATTTAATATGAATGGAGAAGAACAAAGTTGAGACAATAAAATAATTATTTATTTGAATTCTTTAAAGTGTAAAAGAAAATAATTATGAACATAGTTTACAATTAGAAATACCCCTATGGGGCTATAGCCCACCCACCCAAAGGCCAAGGAAGAGAATATAAATCGGACTAGGCCCTTAATTGGGTTCATGCATAACAACTTAAAAATGGGCTCCATCCAAATAGCTGCCTTCCAAAGTCCAAAGTTCAGAAAATAATCCTTTCATCACACTTTTTTGTATATATCGAACAATGTAATATTATCTTCTCGATAATTATATTATCAATAATCATATTTTTATGAAAGTATTAAACCTCATCTTAAAATATAGATTAAAATTTTAAAATTTTAATTTTAAGATCTTAATTTGATATACACCACAAAAGGCTATGTGCCAATTAAGCCTGGGATTGCTTGCTTTGGGAAGCAAAGGTAATGATACCTAACTTTTCCTATTGCTATTTATGCCAATTTTCATAATTGAGTTCATTCAAGAACTTTTTTTAGTGCACTTTGATGCTGTAAAAGATTTGTACACCGCAAAAAGGTTCTAAAGATTAGTTTTTAAAGAGACAAAGTTAATCAACTAATTGAATTTTGTTTCCATGAAAAGATAATTCAATTTTTTCTTAGATCATTATCATTTAGAGGATAATTGCAAATCATTTATTGGATAATTGCATAATGGTACTTAACAAGCTTTCATTTATGCATAATATCTAAATAAAATTTTAAACTATTTAAATAAATTTAAATAATTATGCATTCAATCAAGTCTTTTGTATATTTATTTAGATTCAAACAAACGCTTATAGTTAATGATTAGTTAATTGTTATTAGTCAAAATATCATGTGATGTATGTTTACATGTTATAATAAAAGATGATGTAAAATGTGGATAAAGCATGATAATATGGTTATATAGCATTTTCATCCCTCACGTCAATGCCACATAGTTATTAAATAATAAATGGTATTTTAACTAATAATAATTAATCAATCATTAATAATAAAAATCTATCTGATTTAAAATAAAAATATAATGACTTAATTAAACATAATAAAAAATAAAATTTTATTTACATATTCTTATACAAGTTTTTTCAAGCCGTATGCTTTTCATTTACTATTATTTAAAGAACTAATCATGACAATGATATTCTCATACCATTCTGTTGAATGAATCAAGTTACAAAAACACTTACTCTAATCCTATTCTCACTCTATTCTGTTCTTACAAATTGGGATTCCATTTCCATCTTAATCTTTGCCTAATTTCAATCTACATAAGATATTTTTTTTTTCCTTTTGTCAAATTAGAAAGATATAGAGAGAGAGCACTAACCATATTTTCTCATAGTGGATCTACAACTTTAGGACTAAAGTTGACTAGCCACCAAGCTCTCATAATTTTACAGCACTCAAAAGTTTTTTAGTTACAAAAATATACACATACACAATCGACAGCTGTGTAATGGGGGCGGCGGTCATCATTCAGTTTTTTAATCTTTAATTTTTTTTTATAATATATATAATTTAAAATATATAAATTCATGATTTTATATAATTATCTTTTAATAATTTTATGTAAAACCCTAAATCCGTTATTGCTAATATTTATCTCCTTTCATTATTTCATAGAGATATATTGATTTGATCTTATCTCCAACACAGCATTGTGCCTTATGTTTCATAGACTTCATGAATTTCAATCAAATTAATTTGTGGTTCAAGTGTTTGAAGACTACCGGGACACAAGCATCACCCCAAAGAAGGACGCTGGATATTGACAATGGTCGACATAGACAAAACAAGAGCCCAAGTTGCTAGAGTTCAATAAGATATTAGAAGCAGTAAAAAGCAAGGCAGGCATGCTGTTTTGTGTAGCAATTAGACAGTCGTTGTTGCTGCTGCAAACATTGAATGGCAATTGACAATAAATACTTGGGGTTCCATTGTGGGGAAAGATTGGTGGTCCAATGTGTTAGTTCATCTTCCACATATGAAGAGGAAAAAAATACTCATAAAAACCATGGGTCCATAGCTTGGCAAACTGGAAACTGATTACCAACATTACAAAATCTCTCCCACACATGACATTGATATGATTATTCTTTTGCAGTATCATATCCATCCAACTACACACATGTTGTATTAAACATTGAGAATAGTTGTTCACCACCTAGATTAATAAATAGACAGTTATAAAGAGGGAGCTTTAGATGCACATTACATAGTAAAAAAATCGTATATATTCGTAAGAAAAATAGAAGAAAAATAAAAGATTTAAACTTTAAAACTCGTCTCTTTTAAAAATGAATAGTATCCATTTAATTAAAACTTACTTATAAAATTTTAAATTATAAGAGGAGATTGTCTTTTTTTACTATTATTTTAAAATAATATACCTAACCTTGGAAAACCCTTGAAATGTTCCATGGGGGGCACAATTCTAATTAATGAGGTTGACCTTGTGATCATTAGCCATTGCTGCTATGATTTCACCACCATTGCCCCCCCTCACCATCACAAGTGTCATTGGTTTTCTTTTTCCTCCACAAACTTTTGTGAACTAAAAACCCTTTTGAAAAGGCAAAATCCCCATCACTGATTTTCATGCCTTACCAGCCAAAAGAAGATGAAAAATATTGTAATCAAACAACTCACATAGCTTTTCAATTCTTTTAATCTTCTGCTGTCTTGCAGCAAGAGGCCATGGCCCCCTCCCTCACCACCCCCACTTTGCACAATTCCCATTTGAAATACATAAACAATTTGCCCCCTTCCCCCCACAAAAAATAATGGAGTTGGTAACTAAGATACAAATTAGAAAGCCCATAATCATGAGAAGCTTTACCAAATGTTGAATTGAATGGAGACATGGGTGATTCAGAAGCCAAAAAATGTGGACCAATCCCAAAGCCATGAACAATGGAAGGGGTCCCAAGTGTAGGTTCACTTGTCTTGGAGAGAGAAGACATAGCCATAAATCTCACATATGCATGATCATATGGATAAAAATGTTTGTAAAATTTAATAGATTTTGACAGCTATTGTTGGCTAGCTTCCTTCTAATGTTTCCTTTTCTTTTTTTCTTCTTTTTCATTTTTTGGGGAGGGGATTTTTAAGGACAAAACATTGGACAACACATGACTTGCATTGGATCCATGTGGGTTGGTTCTTCACCTATTTTTGTTCTACCTCTTGTATTTGTCTTTTATTGAATCTTAAATGTTCATGAAAAAACTCAAAGTATGTAATTTTTTTAATATTATGAAATTTTAAGTTCAAGGCTTATCACATGTAAATTTAATCTAATTTTATGTTAAATTTATTCGACTATATAATTGATTTATTGACTGATTTTTATGTTTAGTGATTTTTCATATGATATGTAATTTTTATTACTATTAGTACACGTAATTTCACATAAAAAAAATAAAAACTTGCATAAACTTTATCTCACCTCACAATGCTTCTATAAGTTTCTCTACCATAAACTGTGTAACATTTATCAAACTTTAAACTATATACAGAAAATAAATTTTGTTTCACCTTATAAACTTTATCAGCTCTTCTTGAAAACATTTGAATTTAAGACTTTAAATAGAAAATGCAGAATTTTAATCAAACATAGAATGATTTAGAGATTTAAGATGTTATGTAGGTGCATCATTATTTAACGACTTCGACCTTAATTCTATGGAATTGAATGCTTTAAGTTATTATCTAATTATAACAATAATTATATGTGTTTAGTTATTTAATTTGAACCAATTGTTTACATTTATGGTACCTAATTAGTTAGATTGCATAATAAAAAAAATATAAAAAT